ATCATTGGTCTACGGTGCTCTACTCTACTCTTTGAACCGTGTTATGACTTTGTTTTTGTAGGGAGATGTAGCGGGATTTAACTAGGATAACTCCAGACGGTCTGATTGAACCCAGGGTCATGATGAGGCGCGTGATTGCCGTCTGGATGATTTGTCATAGGTTTAATCGTTTTCATAACAAGAATACTTTATCAAGTGCTTTATTCCAGCCAACGTTCATAATATAGCGTTTTGTTTGAAAGTTTCAATTCTCATCTCGTCTGGGTAAGGCATTGTTGACTGCACCTTGTTCTTTGGCCACACAGCATTTTCTCAGGCCTACAGAAATGAATTCCCGTAAGTACTGGACTAAACGGCATACATTTAAATACTCGTAAGCCAATATGCACCGATTAAAATATCTCCGACTCCCATAACCAACTCTCATACGCCAACTCTCGCAGTACAGACAGTTGAACTCACAAAACATTTACCAAACCGCAAACCACAGCCTCACCATCAGCCGCTTTCTCACAATTAACCTCCCTTACCGTCCATCTCTTCCCTTTATCGTCCCTCTCCTCCTTTTGGCGTCCCCACCCCCCAACTCGTGACCCGGAAATCAACATTGCACCCCGGATATCAACATGTCAACTCACCACATTTCAACAGTAACCATGTTGGGTGTTGTCTTGGTTCAATTTGCGCTGCAGGGGAGAAGAGCAATATTGGTGTGAGAGAGAGAAATATTGGTGTGATTAGTGATTGGAGTTAGCACAAGGGCGGTGCTCATTCACTTAGTTACTGTCATTTTGTAATGTTGTTCTGTGGTGAACTGTTAACTGGTAGCCATTTCCCGATGCGGCGTTTGCCGAGTGTTTGAATGTTGTTTAGTTTGTTTTTTAGCGACGGAATTCTGAGTGTTTTGTTTAAACATTACATCTAGATTTTGATGATCGGTTAGTTTTTCATTTTTAAACGCTTGACTGTTTAAAAAGTTCTGTCTTGATTTAGCTCACAAATTTGATTTTTGCTTTACAAACCTAATCTCCCCTTCTTTTTTTTTACTCGGCAAACTATTTGTTTTCTGAAATAGTCTGTCTCAAATCGAGCTCATTAACTAATTGGTATGCAAATATTTCCAGTAATGATTATGCAAATATTTCCAGTAATAATTTTGGGAGTAATTTCACCTGTGACAGCTGTCTAAGCCACGTTTCAAAACATTTTAGTATTTTCATTCAGGTCAGTAGCTTCTATATCAATCCAGCCGTCCAGAGTCGTTTATTTTCAACATGTACTAGTAGATGACTGATTATATTCTGAGTCCGTCTAGTTTCAACATGTACTAGTAGATGATTGATTATACTCTCAGTCCGTCTATTTTCAACATGTACTAGTACTACTAGTAGATGTCTGATTATATTCTGAGTCCGTCTAGTTTCAACATGACGTACTAGTAGACGACTGATTATATTCTGAGTCCGTCTAGTTTCAACATGACGTACTAGTAGACGACTGATTATATTCTGAGTCCGTCTAGTTTCAACATGTACTAGTAGATGACTGATTATATTCTGAGTCCGTCTAGTTTCAACATGACGTACTAGTAGACAGGGACGTAGCCAGGATTTTTCTTTGATGGGGGCTGTCGGTGAGCGAAGCGAGCCGACGCGTCCAATCAAGCTGTGGCAGGGGTCTGGGGGCGCAGCCCCCAGCGGGGTCCAGGGGCGGAGCCCCTTGGCGGGGGCTAGGGGGGCGCAGCCCCCCGGAATTTTTTTGCGAAACAGGGTGTTTTAGACGACATTTGGCATTAAAGAAATTTGTAGGACAGCAATAAACTGGGATTGAAAAGAATCAAGTACTCACGTAAATTTGGTAACTTCACAACAGCAATCTGCATTCTCCAATCAGAATTTACGACTTACTCAGGCCCTCATCGTCTTAAGATTTTTACATTTCCTACGGTCTAGGGGACACTATTGACTATAATTATAGAAGTCTTCTAGAATGTTTGCTTGGATTTAATGACATATATTTACTAATCCACAGTTCAAATCTTTGACTGACTGCAGTCATAAACACAGCCCAGTTACCAGGCGACCATGGGGACTAGGGGGCTTATCTTTTTTCTGGGGTTCGATTTTTTCCGGGGGGGGGGGGGGCTGCCGCCCCCCTAGCCCCCCCCCCTGGCTACGTGCCTGCTAGTAGACGACTGATTATATTCTGAGTCCGTCTAGTTTCAACATGCACTAAAAGGTGACTGATTATATTCTGAGTCCGTCTAGTTTCAACATGTAGTATGTACTAGTAGATGACAGATAAGACCGTCTTCCTTCAGAATGTACTAGAAAATTACTGATTGTATTCTGAGATTAACCACAAACCCGTATAATTAGGGCTCGCCCTTGGAATTAAATCACAATTTTCTCCTCAAACCAGAGAGAGAGAGAGAGAGCCACTAATGTGCTGATCTCACTGTTGAAGGTATAGTGAAGGTAGACCACACGGAGTTAGCTCGCAATTATCTTCAGGCTTACTTACCTGTCCGCATGATACTCCTCTACTACTACTAGCATTACTACTAGCATTATTCGATTTCCTTTAAGTTAAGTATTGTCGGTCACGTAGCATGCTTGTAAGAGAGAATGTTCCTTCTCTTTTCCGGCTGATGGAACTGTTTGTTTGCACTTTTATGTAGCAATTTCAAATATGTTGCGTGAATACTGAATAATATGTTTATTGATTTGTCTCGTCTGGTTTACAGACAATTGATGAGTAGGCTCACAGAGTTTACAATAATTTACAATAATCAAATAACTAGAGTTGATGGTAAATCGTCAACAAACTGTGGACCAATGATCTCTGACGATTACGTAACGTGACCTAGAATCAACCAATCAGAAGACTCTATTTTGTTCCCATGACTGGGGACTATTTACTTGACATTTGATAACTCTGTTCGCAATCTCCCGAATGTTCCCACCCATAAACCATGATACTTGGTTCCATCACTTCCACTTTCATGCTATTTCTCGGCACTGTAACTGAATTTCAGCCTGGTTTCACTGCTAACCACGGACTACATGTTCAGTAATTATTTTGTAAATGTAGTAATCAATTACAGGCGTTTCCATGGTAATTATAATAGTGAGTTTTTGAAATTCCTTGTTATGGTTCACTGACTAATGGTGTAGAACGTGTTTTTCTTCCTACTGTATTTACAATGAAATATATAATGTTACCTTGATTTCATTTTAACGTAATTTATCCTCGATTTATCACCGGGCATGAAATAACAGAATTCATACCTACCGTCAGGTCGTTACTCGAGATTGTATTCTTCGAGACCACAAATCAAACAATTGTTGATGTTACATTGCTGAAATTGCTCGATCTATTTACTTTTCCTTGTTGCCTCAGACAAGGCAATTTGGCTGATATTTAGCGTCAACAATAATTACTGATTATCAGTATTCGCTGGTCTGTATCAAGGCAGAATAGGTTTCATTTCCTCTCTACTCCCTGCCGCTGCGTGGTACTGTTAAGTATACACCAGTATGTGCGGACTGTGTTTTGGTAATCCTGCTTAGTCAGAATCAGTTGTTTTCAAAATTACTTCCAATCTACTTTATTTCAAGTAAGGTTTAAATCTTTTTTGTAACAACCTTGCACAAACTTATAATTTATTATAAATGAAAATCCACTTTTTTAATCCATTTTATCGAATGGTTTTAGCATAATTCTGCACGTTTTGACCGAACATCGAACATACTTCCGCCCTGAAATCTTTCGTTACAGTTGTAACCAAATCATAATGTGGTAACAAAACTTATTTGCGGTTACAAGGTTGAGGATTTCGCGGTGTAAATATTAAAAATCGAAAGTGAAATCACGACTATTTATCTTGATTTTGTTAAAAACTCAACCAATGAAAGACCACAAGAAATCTGAAACATTTTTTTCGGCACTAGAATTTGTAAGTTTTCACTCTTCACACAGACTACTGGCCATTGGGAGGTCCTTTTTTTCATTTAGTGCTTCAAATATTCCTACATTCTTCTTCGTAGGGGACTGTGGTCATTATCACTATATTCCTACATTGGTTTTAGTTCACTCGTTTCTTGCTGTTTCCGCGTTTAACAATACTTGGATACGTTTAAAATATTTGTACTGGCGCCTTCACAGCCCATTAGAAAATACGGTTAAATACCAACAATTAGAAGTTCAGGTTGCGGTTCATGTTTTAGGCATAGTTTAACAATTACAGTTGTCGGAGCCAGGTTTCCGACAATTAGTCAGTTTTTAAGCGGGAGTCGCAAATTGCGGTTATTTTATTTCTGCAGAACGTTAAAATGGATTTATGGAAGAAACTTCACTCTTCAGTCAAGCTTTAGTCAAGCTTTAACCGAATTCTTAACATTTTCTCTTTATTTTAATTGTACCCCTGAATACAGGCCAACTAATTAAACTTGACTAAGCGTACATTCATACGATGTGTTAACAAACTCAATCTGTATAATTTATAATGTATATACTATACTATACTTCAACAGGATACTATACTATAAAATTAACACTTATTCAACGTTATGAAATTGTTTGAAAATACCCCTCTCATTTCTAAAATCATTAACATTTATGTTATGCGTTATGATTAGCACCCCTTGAACGCGAACAGGTAACCAGTAGCAGGTAACCACGCGCATTTAAAAAATTAAAAAACACTCGCCACTATTTGTAGGTGTGGTCGGCACGACATTCACACCCGTGATATTTTGAAGTGTACATCTTGTAAAGAATCGTTGTGGCTATCCATGCAGCTAAAAACGAAGAGCTGAACTGTAGCAAAGCTCACTCTAGATACTTCCAAAGATTTAGTTGTTTTAAAGGGCTGGAAAGGTTCACTTATCGTATGTTTCATTAGTGTTTTATAGGTACACATCATATTTTATTAGAGAAATAATTTAAATTATATAATTTTGCATTCCTTAAAAAACTTGCGTAGCATATTTCACATATTTTAACATATTTTACATAATTAACTACTTTAGTGTTAGAATGAAGAGAAAAATTCGACAAAACATCAGTTAGAAGATAGCCGTTACAAGCAACAATGAAAAGGTGGCGATGCGTTTAATCTTGCTACTGTTTACTGGCTTTTCTCTCCCCTCTCTAGCGAATAGTGAGTAATTTGCTGCTTTCACTTTAACTTTTCTATTTCTTTTACTTGGTTATCATACACCCAATAGAAATCTTGTTCGAAATACCCAATAAATGTATATTGTAGCTCAATTAACGACACAGTTATTGTATATAATTTATAATAAACTTGATGAGTGGTTCGATTAACCTATGATTTTATCTTGAAAATGTATTCATTTTTGTTTTTGATCAGTTTGTTACAAGCCTTTTTAGGTACTGGAGAAACGTGTAATATCTTGAACCACTTCATCCCTAACCGAGTGCTTCGACCGGACTGGCCGAAAAGTAAGTTAGATCCTCCTAAATGTGCAAAGCTTGTAAAGTCTAGATATCGATCACTGCAGATGTAAGAGTGTTATTGTGAAGGATAACGTCTCTTTGATTCTAATATCCTAGTTCTTTGATTCCGATTGTTTTTAGGCTTTATTAATTATTACGGCATATTACCCTATCTAAGATACCACATGGTGAATTATCACGTCGTGTTAAACCTGTTTTTCCCTCCAGATGATATTTGTAGGTACCGAGAATCCCCGCACTGTTGTACCCGCTCAGTGGAGATGGTCATGAAGGGCTATGCGAATACCTACGCGCACACTCTCTTCTTCGGGCATCTCATGCAGATGAGAGACCTGACATCCGACCTCTTCTACCGTGAGTGTGGAGACGATATAGAGATATAGAGACATAAGTACTCATACTAACAAAGTAACCATAGTAACCATGATAACAAGTAACAACCATAGAAACCGTGGTAACCCTGATAACTTGCCAGGTATGCAGAGTATGCAGCTGCCCTACATGTCTGCCTCTCTCCGGGAGACTGCTCTGGAGTACAAACTGTTAGATAATCTCAGTACTAAACGAGAAACTCTAATCACTCAAGCCACTCTAGATTATCTCGACATCTATTACAACGTCGAAAGCATGCCCACGTTTTGTAAAAGGGGTATAGTCAGAGATATGGAGTCGTCCATCAGCTCTTTTCTACAGGTTCGAATTTTTAGAATGATGATTTCTTTTCTCTTTTTAATTGTCCGTGTAAGTCGCTAATTGATATATTTACTCAATTATGCGCATTATAATGACAGTGATTGCGTCACTTTTGAGTGACTTTCTCCAGAAATCACAAATACGTCGATATCACCAAACCGGCTGTTATGCCCATTGAAGATACGGGCAAAGAACGGAACGATTAGAATGCCGCTTGTAATGACTGATCACTAATATTCAGGAGCTGGTATTTTCCCACGACCTGGTACAGTCCAACTGGAATGTGGCAAAGGATCTATTCGCAGTTGTGTTTTCCTCTCAGTTCACCCCTCATTGCATCACAGAGCTCATTCGCTCAGGAAGTAAGATATTTGGAGCCAACCACTGGCTAGTCAGAGGGGGAATAACGTTTAATTTTACTGAGCAGCTTTAGTCGCTACTAAGTACTGTTTAATATCAGTTATCACAAATAACGTAGACCCCCCTTCACCCTTCCCCCTGCTAAGGAGTTTAAGTTGATCCAAAGTGAATTAAGATAAGATTATTGAGTTGGTATGTTTGGGTAGTCATTGCTGCGTGTACAAGGGTGGCCTGCTACGACTAACCTTATTACCTGGTCTTTCAGCTATAAAACGTTTTACTAAATTGCAAAATTTGCATGTTGTTTTACAACGAACAATAAAAACCTTTAGTTGTCTAACCCTGATACTTTACAGTGACCAATATAAGCTGCAAGACCTGCACCGACCATACCGTTAAGATCCCCACCTGCTTCAACTACTGTACGGAAGTGGTGACCTCGTGTCTGGAGCCATACCAACCAATCGTACGGCTCATCAACCAGTGGTTTAACCTTCATGTCCAGGTCAGTGTTTACTGTCACGTGCTGTCACGTGATGTATTGTCCCGTGATGTCACGTGATGTATTGTCCCGTGATGATTGTGGTTCAGATTGAGACTATTTGTTGTGTTTGACATTTAACTATTTAGTAATTGTGAAAAAAGGATGAGAGGGTGTTTTTCTGTGAAGTTGTACCACAATATTGTTGGGACTGTACATTGTACATGACTGGCATGGTATATTGACAATTAGTATTCCTTAATACATTAATGTTACTATGAGTAGACCTGTGAGTGCATCACTACCAGTGTGTTGCTCCTTACTTCATATTTAATGCCTCATTAATTGAAGCTAAATTTCGAATGAAACTTTCAGGTGCAAGTGAGGATTACAAAATACATTCATCTGGACAGATTCCTGAGACTCAAAGACAAGCTTAACAATTTAGTAGGAAAAGCTTTAGAAGATTTGCACTATGCAGATGTTGTAAGTGTTTAAAATACCCTTATCAAGCAAGATCAGTTGTGAAACGGAAAGTTAGAACACCCTGCCTAGCACAAGATTGATTTAAAAAAATATAAATTGATTTTTTTAAATTCCTTTCATACGTTGAGTCAAGAGCTGACGTTTCGAACACTTAAATAGGGGTGCAGTTCCTTAAATACAATATTATTAAGTAAACACATTTTTTTAAATTGGTCATTAGAACTACCGGCACCGTCCGGGCAACAACAACAAAATATCTCATTCTTCTATCATTGTAAAAGTGTAATTAACTAAAACCATCTATTTCAGTGTGAATACCATTTTAAAGATAGGATTTCAACTGTAAACAACGAATATAATATAGCAGATAGGGTAAGTTTGCCGACATGTTTATCACTGCAATCCAATTAAATATTTTACTTTATTTGATACTTTGCGATTGGTGGTTGGAAAAGAAAGTGGAATCGGCAGTACTCTTGATAAAACCAAGATAGGTACATTTACCTTCACTTTTTACCTTACGTATTAAATAAACTCTCCTCTAACCCCTTAATTTGTCAGTCTCAGGGAAGGAGAAGAAGATTAGCCAAGACGACCCCACCTACCCCGTTCTACTCTTCTCGTCCACTAACCAGAAGCTTCCCCTCCCCCACAACCACCGTTACCCCCAAATTGGAACTTCCAACTGTTGCTGGAAATCAGCTGTTTGATCCAGAAATGATTTGCTTCAACGCTACCGCAACCAGGACTACAACTAATGCGGGGTGTTGGAATGGGACAGGGATTGGGGAATATGACAGGAGCCGGTAAGATATTCTCAACTTGATTTTACAAACAAATTACATTTAACAGATAACATTTGTTAATCAGATTCACAATTGTATTGATTATAGATTTTAACTAACCTTTTTGCAAAGAGGATTATAATGAGAATTATCGCTTTGGGATCTTTTTAAGAGATCTGAAGTTGTGTCTCATTCAGTAAATTTGGAATACAAATCTGCCAATATCGACAAAATGCAATCAATGCTAATCCTTTAATGAAATCATCAATAAAATCAACGCTGACAAAATCAGCGTTTAAATCATTTCTGCAACGTAAGGGAATCGTAACCTTGGGTCTACCTAAACACACTAACCCGTCATGATGGAGACCTTTATTGGCTTTCTGATTGCTTTTATGTGATTAAGCCACCTAATAACATTGCTGAATTCCTTGTATTGGTTTCTTTTCTGGTCAATTAAGTTAAACAATGCAAGATCTGCATAAGTGAAGGCATTTCCAATCAAGTAACTTCGAGACTTCAAATATTCATTCAGCTCTAAAGGATCCATCCCTAATAGATTGCAAGAATTAGAAATTACACACAAAAATTAATTTGTTATTGATTCATTTCTTCTGATCAGTTTATGATAAATAGTATTACAATCTAGTGCAATTTATTCAATGTATCAATGACCACAGCATCAATTTTTATCGAGAGATAATATTTTCAGGATTCCAACGACTGAAAGTACCCCATCCAACATGTTCGACCATCATCTGTCACGACTTAAATCAAAAATGAACGATTTAGAGGTGTCTCTCAACAGAGAACTAGTCATTGTAGAGCCAGAATCTAATAATGTGGAACCAACAATGGTTGCTCAAAAACCAAACAATTTTGGCCATGGACCAAATTTTAAAACTGTGACTATTTTAATAATTGTAATGACATGGATAACCCTAATCGTTTGAAAATTTTTATTTATTATGTCGATATCTGTTATTTATATCTGCACAGAATATCTGCATAGCATCTATGTATTTTGGAGTCTTAATTAATTTGTCTTGTTTTAACAAATCGTTGTACAAAAGCTGCCACGGATTTGTTTTTCTTTGTGTCTAATTTAGTTGATTCATCAAACATTAATTCGTGATTATCTATATATTGGTGATAATCTTTATTTCGTGATTATCTATATTGATAATTGAAATGAGGACAACTGTTTTGTCTAAAGTGAAACATTTTATGTGCCACTTTCAGGCTACAATTGGCCTTGAAAAGTTTGCATGTTTGTAGGTTTTACTCTTGTGGCTGTTTTTTTAGATTTTTTGATTAAGGCCTCAAAGTTTTTGTAATTAATTTGAAAAGATAAATGTTATCATTGCTGCAGTGTATGTTGAAAACTCGTAACCCATTAACCAACAAGCATGTGCAAAGTCCATGGAACCTATAGCGTTATTTATGTGCAGACTACCACAACATGCGCATTACTTTTGTTTTGTTTAGCATATATTTTATGGAAAACCTAATCAGTTTAGTTGTGTTTCGAATTTTTGAAAAGAAAATTTCAATGAAACAGAAGTTTATCTTATATTCCTGTAAATTCTTCACTTTTCATAAAAAGATAAACCACATCTGACAAAGGATCATAGAAGCATAAAACTGAATGCATTTCTTGCTGGCTAAGATCAAAAATTATTAATATATTAACATGTAATCAATTCTACTTTCAATGCTACACTTTGTAACCCTTGAATAACTTTGGTTCTGCAAATTATCCAACATGGTAAAAAGTTCTGGATACTCAAGGTCTCTGAACAAGAAGGCTTGAAGAATACATAGAAAACTGGACAATGACTGGCCACTTAACTTACCACTTACTCAAAAAGATTGTTGTGATGCTTCCATCAATTTTTAGGAAAAAACCAATTACTAAAGCAGTGGCGTAACGTTGCCTGTTGGCACGCCCCCGCCGAAAATGCGCCCCCCTGTTGGCGCCCCCTCCCCTTTTGGTGCCCCTCTCTAAAATTGAACAAAGTAGGTGATTTAAGATACGCCAGTAAAATCTCTAAAAAAGTTTGTTTCTAGAGCAAAACGCGCAGTTTTGCTAGTACCTCAGTTAAGTTTATCAAAATTGTCCCATATTCAAACACCAATTTTGCGCCCCCCTCAGATGGCACAGCAGTGTCAGCGGGGCCCTTCGTTACGCCACTGTACTAAAGCATCTTAGAAGATAAGAGTGAAAACTATGTGTTTGACCATGTATTTAATATTTGCACTGATAAATTATGAAGTAAGAGTTATAGACTGGTTACTTTTGACTTAGCTATGGTGTTCACAAAACTATGATCTGAGGTATAGTAGCCAAATAACTAATTTATTTAGAAATCAGCCATCGGTAAGTGGTTCAATTGATGGTTTTGTACCCACAAGTAAAAGAAAGATTGTATTTTAGGCCCACCATGATTGCTACTCACGGATGATCAGCAATGCTTTGTAGGAAGTTTGATCGCTGCGCTTGGGAATCATGTACTGTATCTCCAACTATCTCTGATACTATTTCACAGTACACTTTTGGTTTACAGACACGACGTATTTTTGATCTTAATGATCTTGATAATTTTGTTGTAGGCTTATGCGGGTTTACTGAGTGGGTTCATACTTTTTGCTTTTGCATTGTTTCAATTACGAAAGTGGAATACTTGCTGAATAGAAGGTCTCGTGACAATAGTATTTTATAATTAATCACACTAAAACTCTAATTTTTAAAACGCGCGCCGAGTTGGACTTGTCGACGGTCCAAATAGTGAATATTTTACGTCCAAATATTACGACGATACAACTATTTAGCCGGTATCACCTTGCTCTAACCAGAGCCTTATCGCTTGCAGTAGCGCGTCACGCAGTACGCGTATACACATGGCTATATGAAGGTGTCACCCGTTAAGGTTGCAACGCGAGATCAGAGTACGTTACTGGGCCGCGCTCAGCCTGTCATTCCGCCTAATCTCTATGTTTATTAACATGATAGCCTGAGGTCCCCAGGTAAGATCAGAGATCAAACGCAAACGTTATTTGCTTTGATGCGCGGCCAGCGGCGCGGCTCAGTCACACGGGATCCCCAGGTAGTACTGCGCTGCGCCGCGCGCGCATCCAATAATCAATAATGTAATGCACCTCTCGCAACCGATCTTTGTTAAATCGGCAAAATGCACCATTGCAGGCCTGGCCGAGCTGTGAAAGATTGACATCGTGTATCAAACATTTTTAGACCTCTTAAAATCAAGACCAATCTCTCCCAATTAATTTAGGTTCGGTAGTTAAGTATGATTGGAAGATTATGACAAATTTTCAGCATGATTCTTACCTGAGGACCCCAGGCTATTATGTTCATTAACAATATAGATTTGGCGGAATGACAGGCTGAGCGCGGCCCAGTAACATGATTCATGTTTAGGAACCGAAGACAGAAGATATAGCAGAATAACACGACAAAAATCAACGAATTTTGTCAAATTACACGACTTTAACACCTAATTTTGCTCCAAAAGCCGCGCACCATCAAATATGGCATTTAGACGAAACTCAATGATCATTCCAAAAAAGTATGACAAATTTGGTACTGTGAAAATTCTCACAGTCTCTAGAAAACGATGGTACACAAATTTTGATCCGAGCAAGTTTATTTTGATCGTGCACGTCCCCTACTTATAATTTAGTAAAATATAATAAGCCTTATAGTCTCTTTTTTCATTGCTCTGAGAAACGACTTAGTATAGCCCTTGTGTCAGTCTGTCACTGTCATGTGATTGTGATCGCCCTGGCCCTCGTGATTTCCGCCACAGTGTCCCGGCCCAGGTTCCTATAAGTATACCCAGTTAATTACTCCGGGTGTCTTACTGGGCCGCGCTCAGCCTGTCATTCCGCCAAATCTATATTGTTATGTTAATGAACATAATAGCCTGGGGTCCTCAGGTAACGGGTGTCATGTGCTAAATCACATTAAAATGGTACCTCGAGATTGGAGATAAGGTCAAGGGCCCCCCGACAGTCAAAACTGACTTGAATGGATGTATTTTTTAACGCAGATTGGGACTCACTGCTTACGTGACATGGAAATTAAAGTTGGTTTTATTTCCCGTTAGGGTTGGGGTTTCACTTTCAGCATAGCCATATGCAATATGGTTAGGATTAGGTTAGAGTTAATGTTATCAGTTAGTCCTACTCCTAGGGGTTTGAATACAGAATAGTCCATCTGCAGGGCTGCATCTACTTCTAGAAAACGTGTTCAATTAATAAGTCGCGTCGCGTCACAGTCGAGTGCATCAGCATAGAGACAGTGATTTAGGTTAATCATCATCCTAATTATTATTGGGCGGCGCTCTGCAGCTCTACCTGTCATTCCGTCGAATCTTTATTTATGAACACAATAGCCTGGGGTCCCCAGGTAAGCTGGTAATAGTAGAAGCTCTTACGGGCAAAAAGACGTGTTTTCTGCTACAATTTTAGAGACCTAACCGCTAATTGGACACAATAGTATGATGTCTAAGGATCGATAATATGTTAAGAAGTATAAATTTGGCCTTATTAGTCACGTGCTATACCAATGCGCGTTTTAAACTTTGACAGTCTATTACTCTAAGGCAAATAGATTAATTATATTCATATTTTGTCAGCAATAAGATCACATTATTTTCTATTTAGTGTGAAAATATGAGCTAGAACGGACATAATCTCGCTGAGTTATAGCTGTTTGAAATTTATGATGAACGCGCGGGTGCCAATTGATAACAACTAAATGCTTTTGCGCGTAGTGCGCGTCGAAAATTTGGCAAAAACGCTTGCGGAGTGACAATATTCAAACTTCGATAAAGTATATGAAGTGGGTACTTCTCGGAAAGGAAAAATGTAGGCAAACACGATGTGACTATTTTTGGGTTGATTTAATACAACTGCAAAAAATTATTCAAACTTCAAGCAAAAAAAGTCAAATTTTTACCACTTTTTTGCAATTTTACCCCCAAAAAGTCAGTCCAATCATCTTTAAACCACTTTTAATCGATTCTACGGTCAAAAATACGTCTAGGAAGGTGTATCTGGGGTCCCTAGCGTATCGATAGGCGGTGCACGATAAAAATAAACTTGCTCGGATTTTCAAAATTTTTGTACCATCGTTTTCTAGAGACTGTGAGAATTTTCACAGTACCAAATTTATCATACCTTTTTGGAATGATCAGTGAGTTTCGCCTAGGTGCCATATTTGATGGTGCGCGGCTTTTGGAGCAACATTAGGTGTAAAAGTCGCGTAATTTGACGAAATTTGTTGATTTTTGTCGTATTATTCTGTCATATCTTCGGTTTCTAAACATGAATCATGCTGAAAATTTGTCAGAACCTTCCAATCATACTTAACTACCGAACCTAATTTAGTTGGGAGAGATTGGCCTTGACTAAGAGGTCTAAAAATGACAAAATAGGTATAAATTCGTTGATAACTCAAATTCTGAGCATTGAAATTGCTCAAACTAAATTAGGTTCAGTAGAACATAAGTGTTTACGTAAGCTGACCAAATTTCAACAAAATTGTTATATGGGAAGTATTATAACTTTTCGATTGTTTCCAAAATAATGTGCTGGCCGAAATAAGAGCTAAAAAACCATTCAATGGTCAGCGCGCGCGTCTTATTGTCGATGGCGCACTGCCTAGTATCGAGCAGACAATGCCCGTAAGAGCCTCTACTATAAGGTAACCGAATTACTGATTGGTTAATAACACTTCATCTGCATCACTGTTTGGAAAATTGTCAAAAAATTTTTAAATCTTATTATTTATCGCTCTGTTGCAATCATATCAGTTCAGGAACAATGATAATAATTTGCTCCTTATCACTTATGTTAACCAATTTTCCCGGGATATATGCCTAAATTTTTATTTATAAAATTCACCATGGTTGAAATTAACAACTTCGCCGCATATAATTATACAATGAGGGGCTCTTACTAAATCGCTCGGCGCTCGCCCAAAAATTATCACGTGACTTTGGTTTTTATGGTTTTGCAATTGCAGCCGAACAATACGGTTTTACATAAACCCTAATCCCAACCCCGAAGCTATCCCTAACCCGACCCCTAAACAATCAAATTCGTGTTTTACTAGCCTGTCACGTGACCAAAATAGTTGTTTGCCCAATGCCCATAACTCTCCAGGTCTAACTCTATTGGCATTGCTCGCTCCTCTCAGTCTCACGTATACTTATAGCGAGATGCTCGAAAAGAGCGCCGCGCATTGGGATTGGCGTGCCAGGTAATACTAATATAATCATGAACAGCAACAAATTAGGAATAGGCCTCAATTACCTCAAAATGTAAGTCAACATTTTAACAACAAGTCATAAAGTTTCAAAACCAAAGTTTTAGCATAATCATTGCCGTAATGCCGTGTCATCTAAAAGATTAATCGACGGAACATCAGTAAATAGAACATCAGTAACTGCAAAAGTCCAATATCATAATTTGAATATTATTTATACAAATTTGGATCCACCTCCACGAAAGTTGGTCCTAAAATCCAGCAATTTTTATACACGGTCATAAATAATGAGTTCAGTGAAGTGTTGCTACAAATATTATAATCCCCACACAAATTTTTAAACGAACATTTTAGTTCATCATCAGTATCTAAAGTCTGTAAGAATGGACAAGTCTCTTATCTTTATAATTACAACCACTACCTTTAACGACTTTCTCTTGAACATTTCTCATCGATCGTCACTAATCGTCACTAATCATCGCTAATCACGTGATCTTGGACAGAGTGTCAATGTTCAGGTACCTCCGAGAGGGTAGAATGTATTCTGAAAAGGAGTCGGTTCTCTAACGAGTAACTCTTCACCTTGTTGCTAAACTCCTTCGCGTACCTAAAAGTGAAAGTGAAAGTGAAAGTGAAAGTAACACTAATTATGGTGGTATCTGTACATTCGGTGACTGACGCCATCAAATCTGAGGGCGCAACAATACTGGTCGAAATTCAAATTGTTCCAGGCGCCTGTATACATATTTTGAAATATCTTGTTATTTTAAATACGGGCTCCCGGACACAAGCTATTTTAATCTAAAGAATAATAATGCTCTGCTTGTTGAAAATACGTAAGTTGAGGTGTCTAATTAGCTGCAAGAATAGATGTAACTAATAAAATTCGTTACCTCAGATGAGCCCTTGCTTGGATGTTTTCGCCCTTTCTCGCGTACAGAACTCCCAACTCAAAATGTGCGTACGGTATGTAGAAATGATCTACCTGTCATGAAAAAAAACTATTAATCTATCTTTCAATTTACTAATTTTCACTTAATTAACACAATGGATATTATTAGCATATAAACTGAACGATAACCATAGTTTCTGCATTCTGTAAACTTGTTAATTACATTTACAGGTTGCAAAGACAGGTTGCATCACGCACATATTGCACCAGGGATAGTCACATTATTATCGGATAATTCGCATTCTGCAAAACAACAAATATTTTAGTTTGAAGGGGGTGTTTCAACTTCTGCATACATAAAGCAAAGCGCCGGCAACTGATTAATTATTCTTAAATATGACAACCAAGATAAGAAGGGAGAGATGTAACTTAATAATAATATTACTTATATTTTTAATTTTTATTATTTAATTTGATAGTTGGGGACAAAGTGAGAGTCTCCACGCAGTGTTTAAAACAAAAATAGTTGTCGACGTTTAAACTATTTAAACGCCTTTGTCATGGACAAATTACTATTACTAAGATTGGAGGAGATATGGTTAAATTAATAATACTAGTAAAATTACCTTTATTAGTAATACTAGTGCAACCCATGACTACGGCCGGGACTTCACTATCGCAGTTGAAATGCAAAAGTTTAGACCCGCCTATTATATTTGAAAACACGCATAACATTTTCGTATGAAAGAATGAACTCTCTCTACAGTTCAAACAGACCGCAATGAGTGCCTTCCCCCTAGATAAGCTTATACTTATAGTATTACATTGCATTACAGTGAACCTTGCGGCTAACCTAATTATGATTCACGTACCGACGCTACATAATATGCAGAAATGGGAGAGAGAGCGAGGAGGGAGAAAAAGTGAGCCATTTTATGTCACAGTTGTAGTACAAAACCATCAATTAAACCACTTACCACCGGCCGATTTAAAAAAATGCTTATTGGCTTCGTCAGAGTTTGTCGGCACTATACCGAAAAAACAGTCCCGAAACTCTTACCGTTTTCTTGATTCCGCTCGGAAATTTCCCACACACACAGATTTACTGGGATTTATCATTAATCATCATTATCATTATTAATTATCAGTTATATTGATAGTAATATTATTAATGTTACTTACATTACTAATATTACTTACATTACTAATATTACTAAAATTACTGCCACCAGTCGTGATATCACGTCTAAAAATATCTCCTTTAATCTAGCTGTTATCTCACTGTTATTAACTTTCCATAACAATTAAAGAACTAACTGATAGAGTTAAGAACGAAGGTGGCTGATAATTTACAAACATATCTTACTAACGTTAAATGGGAAGGGTAATTTGGTTCAGGAGCAGGATATAAAAAGTCACAATGTATGTCTGTCATCAGTCATACAAATTTGCATTTTATCTGCATCCAATTAACAATCTGCATATCTGCTTTAATTATCAGATAACGGATTATTTTATTTTTATCCGGGAGAAAGTTGCAGGTTTGCTTGTTAAGCCATTATATCGGGTTAAGGCTTTGGAGCTTGTGATGTTTTAAATCGTATAAAATTAGATACAGTTATCAGTATCTCCAGGTACCCCGGGGATTACTAAGCAGATCTCTGTCAGAATAATACTGTTTAACATCTGTTGTTATTTTAAATAATATTCAGATTGATAAGTTTAACTTAATGTTTCCTAATTCAGCATAGAATTGTTGCAGTCTACATATTTTTTACGCAGATTTGTTATAATCTATTCATTGCTTATTAATATTATCTATACTATATTTGAAACTAAATCCCCCGGCAACGGGGACATCGACCTTCTGGTGAGGCCAATTTCAGCTCGCAAATGGAGTTGAAACCTCGCAATTTTTAGCAGGGTTGTAAAAAATAGGAGATTCTTAGAATTTTGATTAAGGCTTTAGATTTGCTATAATTAACGTCGGAAGTGCGGTAAAATAAACGTTAGAATAATGGCGTAATTTTTCAAAGGTTACCTGCGTCGTTGCTTAGCAACATCAAGAGATTGCACGTGCGCGAGCAAGAACAGATTAGCAACGCGCGTTGCCATGCTTTATATTGATACGTCATACGTCATAACTAGCTCACAATTATGCTTACGATATCACTATTCATAACTTTGATTGTGATCGATATTTTTTGATGCGGTAGAAAGTATCGTTTAGGGAATACTACTTACAACTTTATCGTCATTGTCAAATAAAATCCATACTTTCTACAGTACAGAGCTTAGAGCTAGATGATTAGAGATTGGTTTTTTATTAAATACTTTTCAAACTTTACAGAGTACAGCAATTACAACGTATGAAATAAACTCGAATAAATTATTGCCCCCGTCTGTAAAATCTGACGGGAGACCAAACACGGTACTGCACAGTAAAACGTGCCCGCAATTACATGGCCCCGATATGATTATTTAAAGTGTGAAACAAAATTGTGATAAAATAAATGTGTGGTGAAGAATGTGAAACAGTTCAAATTTCTTCATAAATGATTTTTTTAATTTCCTCGAACAAAGCTTTCGACTAGCGGATTTCTAGTAATAAATATAATGATAAATGAATTGAAATTAAAATATGTGAGGTGAAATTATGGTTTGACAATAACAAAAATTAAATGGAAACTTGAATTATCATTGCATTTGATTGAACTAGATATGCTTTTTCTTTCACATTCTAGGATCAGTAAATTAAAATCCCTTTCTACCGTTATTTATACATTTAACCTACCTACATAGTACAGACCATGTATTCAAGACACATGTTTTGGACTTAATAAGGAATTTTGGTGACCGTTAAGATTTGTCTATTTACTGCATCGAAATCAAAATATTTGTTTGTTCTGAAGGTCCAACTGCAGGATTGTTTGAGATATGATCTGGACGGTGCTTCTAGTGATAGTTACCTTTACAGCAACAACCACTGGACAAGCTGTTATTGAGGAACCAGGTATTTACAGATGTGTTTACATGTGTTTACATGTGTTTCACGTGTAAACACATGTAAAGTCTATTGTTTGATTTACCTTCACCCTTGTTCAATATTTATCTGCCATTGACGTATTTATTTTGCTCCGACGGTGCCGTTAGCTCTGTCTCGAGCCACTTATATATTGTGATCTTTATAATCATTGTTATCGTCGTAATATCACGGTAACCATTTCGTTAAAGGGACAAAAGGATTTAGCGATTATTTTGGCCAAAAATCGCGATACCGCGAATTACATTTCGCGGTATATTAAACTATACATAAAATTTGTCGCAAATAATGGGAAAAATCGCGATTCCGTTCATGCCGCGATTTCCTTTTGTCCCTGTTTCGTTATAATAGTACAACCTGAATTCAAATATCAATCACTTCGTGATTAACCCAGCTTGCAAATCTATTCTAAACATGATGACTGTGATCATTACTATACGCTCGAAATATTCGAATAGGAAGTAAAAAAGGACCAAGAAATTTAATGAACGGCCATGGATTGACTAGATAATTAGATATCTTAATTATGATAAATATCCACATTATTCACTCCGCTCGTACGGATTGACTCGCGAGTTTCTTGGATTATTTTAGTTGATGTTTGATACTAATTCATTTGGTAACATCAAGCTTGTATTTAGTGGTTTTTCGTAGTGGTTGTTCTAAGTCATTGCATCCAAAATAGGTTGAAAAGTTGAAAGTCAATCTTGATAAAAATACCGTAAAAAAATATTAAATTCTAAGATCTTATTACACAATTTGTCATAATAAGATATTGGCAGCCCAGCGAAGGTTTGATAACTAGTCATGTCTTGCGATGATACTGAAGGAGGATCTAAAGTGACAAACAAACGGAGTTATGTATGCAGCAAGTGCGATTACGGAGCACTGTTCCGATCAACTATGAGAAGACACGAACTAACTCACACTTACGCAAGACCGTGTCACGATGGGAAACCAGTTTATAATTGCGAGTATTGTAATTACTCTTCAGTTTCAAAACAAAATCTCGGTAGGCACGTTAGAACCCACACTGGAGAACGCCCATATAAGTGTGCTGAATGTGGGTTTGCAGCCGCAAGAAAATGGACCTTAGTATCTCACTTGAGGAGCCAACACATTCACAAAGACAATAGTCCTTGTCCGCGCACAGAGTATGCAGCAGCAGAAATACCATTCATGATATCACACAACGGGAATTGTCCGTACAAGTGTGATAAGTGTGATTTTACAGCAAAGCAGCTGTCGGACTTACATCGTCACCGGTGGACACACACAAGAGTTCGACGTCTTCACAAGTGTGATAAATGTGATTATGCAACAGCAAAAAAAAGTAACATGAGTGACCACTTGAGGACACACTCTGGAGAGCGTCCCTACAAGTGTGATCAATGTGGGTTTGCAGCCGCAAGAAAATGGACCTTAGTAACTCACTTTAGGACCAACCACACAAACAAGCTTGCTCAAGTTTCTGCAAGCAAATAAGAGACAAACACTCACAGATAGCATCTACTTAGGCTATTGATATCTCATTTTTTTTTTAAAAAGCGCCGAAAAAGCGCTCAATAAGCGATTATCGGCGACGATCATAAAATATCGTTTATGGAAACTTGCCCATTGCCATTAATGGGCAAATTCTTTCCAGTGTACACTGTACTGTGATGACGTATTCTTTGCAGTGTACTGTGATGACGTATTATTTGCAGTGTACTGTGATGACGTATTGCTGAACTGTCAGAATGAGGGGGAGTGTTTTGAACACTACGTGAAGACCATGTATTCGTGCCAAGACGAGCTGTATAATGTGAGCATGTGTAGTGTCGAGTGTAGCACCAAGGTGCACACCCTCATGTTGGATCCTATGATGGAGAGGTAAATACTTGCATATTTTACACATCTTACTTTACGTATTTTACATACTTTGCATATTTTACGTATTTTACATAATTTGCATGTTTTTACATACGCCCACGTACATGTTGTTAAAACTGCTGACAGTATTATTTCAGCTATTTCACATGTGAATGCCGGGATAACAACTACTGTCAACGACAGAAATGCAAATTCCTTGCTACGTGTTTAGGCGGTTAGTTACTTCTTTAAATTACTCCTAGTTACCTCTCCAGTTACCTCTCCAGTCACCAGCTTATTTACCTCTTTCTCATATAAGTAAAATACTAATTACATACATACAGGTAAATGTCATTATTGAGAATTGACGGGTTCTATCGCGGCCATTAAATTTCCCAAATGCAATTTGAAATTTGTTTTCAGGTGACTGTGATCACGACATATACTTGACGGAGGCTCCACAAGCGTTGTTTAAAACCAAGCACCCAAACGATTCCGAGGACTATGAGTATGAAGAGAAAATAACAACTAGAGCTCCCATCGACATTGAAGCATCAACTGAAGCAACAGGTAACCAATAAGAGAATAAGCGATCCATTAGAATTCCTCACGATTTTGGCGTCAGACAAGATTATCTGAGAAGAGTCCCCTCCCCCCTCTAAATTCCACCCACCCAGGCCCCCCCCCCCCCCCCCCCCCCCCCCTCTAAATTCCACCCACCCAGGGCCCCTACTATGTGACGAGGTTACATACATCTGCAAATACGACGAGACATGTGAACCGCTCCAAAACGAGCTGTACAATGTGGCGTGTCGGGAAGAGATAATAGACCCTGGAATGTGCAGTGACACGTGTAAACGAGTTGCTCAGCTGCTGTTGCAGCACCCTGCCATGGCTGGGTCAGTCTTACTCTTAGACAATTATAAGGCATTGTGCTTCTTTTAGGGTAATACACCCATAGTTAAAGTTAATATGCGCAAATGGCAGCTTAAAAGTTTGAAATCTTTGGTATTAATAGAATTACTCATTAAACCGTTTTATCTCATGGGATAAGATGTTTCAAATAGTTTTAAAAATAAATAAAATAAAAGTTCTTTGTGTAAGTCTACGTTCTCTGTATTAATATAGTAACTACACCTCAGGTACGAGGATTGTAAGTGTGAAGACAGTCCTTACTGTAGGGAGCAGAAGTGTAAACTTCTAGGAGCCTGTTATGATAGTAAGTAAATCTGCAGTTCACTTGTTTTATTGTCATTTATTTATTGAGATTATACTTTAATTATATAGCTTAATTAATTTAATCATAATTTTCTTCTTATCTAATTTTTTAGTGGTATTCTTGAAACGATTCTAATTTCTAATAGTACAATCACTTGAATAAAGCAGCCCAAAATAACGAAGTAGGTCTGTAAGGAGATGGGGATTAACTGAGTATGTTTACAGGGGAATGTCCAGACCACGTGCTCGGTACACCCTCCACCCCACCTCAGTTGATTGTGAGTTAATTTGAATAACTAATCAATTATTCAATTTAATGATTTATTGATCAATTGTGACTAATATTCTTAATCTCTAATATGCGTATAGTCAGGCTAATTTATAATTTATTTCACTGAATCCCTCAGCCAGAAAATCCAATTAGTTATTATTTAGTTATCAGTTATATTATTTATTGTATTTACATGTTACTTATTCATGGACGGAGAACAAAACATGTAGTTTTCGATTTTCCGGTTCCAAGGAGAACTAGCAGAGTATAAAAACCAACCACTTAGCTACTAATAGTTGAAGCTCTTGTCGCTTATATTGCGTTGGTGACAATTAGCAGCGTTTGTGACAATTAGCAGAAAAGGGGACATGTCACACGTAGGAGAGGGTTGAGGTTGGTAACTAATAAAAGCCAGGAACGTGTTTTGTAAACCAAACTGCTCCACTTAATTAAATGTTGTAACCATATAAGTCTCAATAAAACATATACATTAATCACATTTCTTGCACAAAACGAGCTAATGAAGTATGAACTATACGTTTGGGGGGAAGAAGAGGCCCGGTATATCGAAGTATCCGGTATAGCAAGGCACGGTTTATAGAGATCTGACTGTACCTGAATATTATCCTCTGACTGTAGAGCAGTCCTCAACAAACTGAGGGCGTGTTCGTGATCTCCCAACTCTGCAGTAAGTACAGCTAAGAGGAGGTTACACAGGAACCAGTCGTCTAGAGGATGTTGCGTGTGGTACGGTACTATGTTAGCTATATCCTCCAGACAGGCTTCTGAGAGGTGGAATTAAGGGTTACAGAGGGGTTAACTTACTTCCTCTGCTAAAACAGTTCTTCAACAGTTATGTTAGAAGACATTCCCAACGAATCGGACTTAAAAATATAAATTATCAAGGTCAAACCCATATGATCTAAAACTTGAAGAACGAAAAAAAACACCAGTTCCTTTAATCACAAAAACAAGTTCACAACATTCCCCCCCGCCCCACGTACCTATCATCTTAACAAGTTTCTGCTGGCTCTCCTTACTCATCAGAGGTATAAACCTCCAGATATAAAGCAGCTCCAGCCCCGGTAAACACAGAAACTTGTCATTTCTTAGGAAACTACGGGCTTTACGTATGGCAAACTTCTCTATGTGCAGGTGCTTACCACCTGGGAGAGGAAAGATGTTTGTTTTAATAAATACTTTGTTGTTTTTATTCGCCCAAAGGTTTCTTGCGAAGTGGCAACCTGGCAAGCTTCTTTTAATTGGTTATCACGGAACTAAAGAGTATTATAGTCATAAGATGGAGGAACAGACAAATGTATCTTACCAATTTTAAGCTGATATTTAGGGACGAGTTTAGCTATATCTTCAAGGTCTGCAGATTCTGAGTCTGACATGAATTTAAAAGCTACGTACTGATATCCAAATAGTGTCCGGGACCATTTGCTTTCTTTGTATAATCTCTGGGAAAGATGTTAGATTTATTAACAGCAATTGTAAGAATATTATATTATTCTAGTAATAATGCAATTTTACGAGCTTGAGCTAGAGTTTGGATTATAAAAATTGATTTATCCAATTTTCAAATAATTATTAAATTACAACTTTTTTATTTCAATTAGTCAATTATAACTAACATTAGCGAAATGAGCGGCTTGGTCCCACTGAAGCAGCATTGCATGACACCACATCTTCTCCCAGTAACACAAGTGGTAAACTTGTATCCAGTCAATAGGGCTTTGTTCACAAAGCTCGTACTTTTCCAGAGCTTTCTCCAGCTCCCCACTTATTACTTCCCTTCTTCCTAAGACATTCAGTTTTTAAAAGATTATAACCTTGTAGAAGTTAGAAAGCAACCTAGTTGTGATTAGTGCTAATTTGAGACCAGACCGTTTAAAAAAGATCGTTTAATCTAGTGCAACATGATATATTGCAATTGAATTACAATTTAAGACGTTTTACAGCTTACCATCATAGAAGCCAAACGTTACGCTTCCAGGGTATCGTGCAAGATATTTAGATAATATCGTATCAACTACGTTACTGTCGTACTCCTCGCGTTTTATAAATTGTAACACTATCGTCTGATAATTCTGAAATTAAAATACATTTAGTGAAGACGACCATTTGGGTGTCTTATGCTTCTATTTAAATTGTTGTAAGTATGTATAATAGATGAATAAGTCTTTGACATTTATTCAGTACAACCTCGCTGATAAGTAATCCCTGGAGACTTGCACTGTCTTTAATTATCCCTCAGTGTAGAATTATCGCAATACACTGCATGCATAAGCTGATGTTAATGATGGTGCGCGCGTTCAAAATCACGTGGCGTGCGCGTAGTTTATGAATCGAGAACGCAAAAAAATCGTTTGGAGTACGCGCTCGACCGATTTACACATTTAGTGAATAAATTGTCTTCCGGGAAAATATAAATAGTACCAATTAATTTAACTGGAACATGTATTTCCGCCAACAGATCCAACTACAGAAGAACACTAACTAATAATCCAGCAGCAGCCACAAATGAACGTAACACATCCATCTTTTCTGCCTCAACGACCAAATTGTGACCCAGCATTTTGTCCCCTTGAAGTCCACAGAACTCTAACAGTCGCAGAATTTTAGGTGGTAAAAGTGATAATCCCAGTATAAATGCACCCCATCCCATGTTGATTCCGCCGATAATCTCATTTTTGTGTAAGATATTATCTGCAGGTATAGCTGTTGCTCTATCTGATAAGCACGTATACATTTCCTTGTACAAACTGAAATAAAATGTTACAACTACAAGGGCAATGTAAGATATTCTTTCTATGTTGAAAATTCCATCCAAAAACAGTTAGTACAAAACTGTTAAAACAGACCTATAATATGACTTTACGACTTTTGAATTTGTAGATTGTAGAAGCATCACTAAGTTATATATCAAAAATATTTCAAATTTCATTACCTGTGAGCTGTTTTTATCTTGAAAGCCCCCTTAACAAAGCTCACTAAACTATCTTGATCCTCGGCGAATGTTAGAATTGCACGCACTAACAGTGTCTCTGCGTACAACTGGGGGAGATTCATATTGAGTGCTTGTTTAAACGAAATTGTGCTTGTTAAGAAATGAAAATTGCACACTTCTATCTCTTTTCAGTTGTCAGTAAAATATTACAATCAATTCATCGACTCAGTGCTAAATTTGTAAGTGAATTTAGCTCTGAATGCTATCTAATCTTTCTCTATGACTATCTACTATCTAGTTATATTATTGAATAAGTCAATTAAGCTCAAATCGGAGTTTGAATATCCAAGAGAAATCAACACAACATGTCTACGTAACAGACATGATTAAATGAATTAGTTACTAACTTAGTGCGTTACATGTCTCATTGTGTACCCAATAAAAGTAGACAGTCAGTAAATACCTAACCAACCACCTACTCTTTACACACAGTGTATATTACCTACACACAAACTCTTCTTTATATAATGTACAGTAAACAGTGAACTTGGGATTTTGTTACATATAAAGACTTGTTAACTTAAATGAAGTCTAATCAACATCTCATTAAACTATATAAAACAATAAGTATAAAGAATAAGGAAAAGGAACGGGAATGAAGCCAATACCAGAAGTGAAACCCCACCAAAGAACATGGACATGTTTGAAGCCACCGCGTTTTCCATGCCAATAAGCTCTAGTAGTCTTTATAAGCACAGCTATAGGGATATTGAAGTAAAATGTCTTAACTAATGACACAAGTAGTAGCAGTAAGTAAGTACACTAGCATAGTGTGTATGTTCTGAGATGACACATGTGATTATTCTGCATAATTCTGTATCTAGTTAAGATACTCTGGTAAACACACGGCTTTTGATGCGTACATCAGATTTAGTACATACTATATCATAGAGACGAGTAAAATGGTAAGTGACAAAAAATGAGTGAAGCTTTTCTGTGTACGCGTGGGTAGAGTGGTGCATAACGACGAAGAGAAAAAACGGTTGTGATATGGAGCACAAACCCCAAATATTTTCGCTTGAGGGTCTCTGAATTATTGCCGTTGTCTTTGTAACTGCTGATTTGGGTAAAATTTGTATTTGTTGGATCCTGACAGTCAGTTCTGGAGTGATGTCTCGTTTTCAGGAACTCAGGAACTCGATCCTAACAAAGATTCGTCCGGGATATGACCGTTATACCCGCTGTCAAATTGATAGACAATAGTGAGTAACATTATAGTGCTAAGAATTCATGTGTATTGAAACGATGTTAAAACTCGTACAACGTCTGACGTCATTTCATCAAAACAAGTTGAAAACATTCCGTTGTTTTCACTGATGCAAGCTAATTGATCACAAAACTTCTATAGCATAGGCACGTGACTCGTGAGTCGTGTATAAGGTGATGTTTAACTCTGGTCATGTGTCATGTGAGCTACAAGTGCTTGTGAAACCCTTCACTCGCTATCACGGAACTTTTTATTGACAGACACTGCTGATTCGTACCTATTTCATTGTACGAGTGATTGTAAAGCCCTCAACTGGGTTTTGGGTCTAGTACAAGAATGTGAACTATGCTCACTCATAGCTATCTATTTGAGAGGGCCTATCTGATACAGATACGTCCGTGCAGTAATTATACCATAAATACTGCTAGTTCATGGTATCAGTGTCACTTCATTTCATTCATCTTCAGTAACTCATAACACAGTCACAGTACATTCCTTTACATTCCTTTACATTCCTTTACATTCTTTTACATCACAATATGATGAACTGAACAGTACCCTCAACTTCAATAATGAGTTAATTATTATTTGCTTTAACAAAACTTAGCCATCGCGATCGGTGTCGTAAATTTAAGGTAATATATCATATTATATAATAATACTGTCGAGAAACACGAAAAAATACTCCCCCGCTACTTCCCTTAATCACATAATCTGAAGTCATAAAACAATGATATAAACAATACTACTAGGAAACGGTAAAAATATCACGACGAGTGAGTGTTGCTCTCCCATAGGTCACTCTCTTTCTGTCTCTGTCTGTCTCTTTCTGTCTCTTTCTGTCTCTTTCTGTCTCTTTCTGTCTCTGTCTGTCTCTTTCCGTCTCTTTCTGTCTCTTTCTGTCTCTTTCTGCTTTTCTGTCTCTTTCTGTCTCTCACTTTCTCTCTTTCTCTAGAGGCCTTCTTATGATGTTAACTTACTATGCGGTCCTGATCCTGTTTCCTTGGATTGCTTTGAAGTTAACAAATATCCAGTTCCGGTTTCCAAGAATATGGCCGGATATTCAACCGGAAATTTCTTTATAAAATGTTAATCTAAAATCCTGAAATGCATATTTTTCGTCTAAATAGGTTCTGAAAACAATTTTATGTTATATTTCGTTCTAACTGTTCAGTTTTTGCACAACGAATCGAACAAAATCTCGAATCGTGATATCGGGGTCTCGTATGCACCTCCCAATAACCAAGTCAGATACGATTTTCAATCGACCAATGAAATGTCACGAAATAAATATCATCAAAATTTAAAATATTTTCAAATTTCGAAATATTTTCAAAATTCAAAATAACCATTTTCATATAATATGTATGTTAAATTTCTCCATAAGAAACTTGCTCCATAGAAATTCTGACTTTTATTCGGTTGAAAATTGGTTGATAATTGGATGTAAAAATTAGTTGAAATTTGGGATATGACATGAACACAGTCATGGTAGCTTGTAATATGTCAGCGAATGTTAAAATAGACCCGTTTGTGTGAGATTTTTTGTAAGACAAAGAAAGGAGTCAAAGCAGGTACCCAGACCAATGACAAAACAATGCTTTATTCATGAGAATTGCAAGCAGAGGGTTCCTGGGGGAAGACAAGGGGTATTTTCCAGACCAAATCACCAGTCATAATGTTCACGCTTTACAAGTCGATGGTTCGTAGTCTACTGGAATACTGTTGCCCGCTATGGCACCCCTCCAGGATATGTGACATCCAGGAGCTTAAAAGCGTACAGAAAGCTTTCAACGCAAGGATTACTGGAATGCGTGATATTAATTATTGGGACCTTCTTCTACGGATATCTCTGATGTCTCTACAGCGTCGCAGGGAGCAGTTTAATTCTACTTCATACGTGGGAGATTCTCCATCACTATACCAGCAACGACATTAACGTGCAGATTTTCTCCAGGCCACGTTGTGGAAACCTTGCAGTCATTCCATCTTTCGTTGTTTTGAGTGACCGATCCTAAACCAAATCCTGGTTTACACAAGACGTGGTAGCCTGTGAGCGTGTATAGTGTATGTACCACTCCGCTTTGATACAATAGTTTTAAAGGTAAATGCGATCGATTAAATCCACCAGGACGCCAGATAGATCCACTAAAATGAGCGTTAAATATTCAGCGTGGTTGTAAGAACCGTATACGAGTCTCCAAATTGTCAAAATCATCTGGTGTTCTAGACTAATCCAAGAACTCTTGAGGCCAGGAAATGTGTGACACAAAAGGTTTGAAGGCAAGGAAGATTCCTGACTGCCCTCTTTTAAGCTTTAAGTTTAGTCTATCTTTCTAAGAGCCCAAGGGGATTAGCATAATAATGTCATAGCTTCGCCTACCCTAGTAGTGAGATTACTCGCGTTGCATTATTGAAAACGTCAACTTGGAGCTGCTGCTTTGACAAAAACTGCTTTTCTAGATGGTAAGATTTGCAAGCTTTTGGTCTATTTGCAAGCTTTTGGTCTATTAACTCGACAGCCTGATGCCTGATGATGTTGTAACTAGGCTTTACCCCACTCAGTATGATCATTTCACTGCCCAATTTAAGCTCTTAACTCCAATCAGAAACCGAGTTATTTTGATTTTAAGTGCTGAAGTCGCAACATTATAAAGTGCTGTAATTGCTATTATCACGAGAGCGCAAATAGGTGCAGCCTCATAACTAATGTCCTAATGTCATAGGACTTTGAATTTATGCTGTACACCCCTAAATGTGATAATGTTGGACATCTTTATGCCCAAGTGTGGCTTTTACTCTAATCAGAGGCCAAAGTTTTATTTCAAAGTCGTAAAAGTGCCAAAAATGGACTGAAACTGGTTTGTGATTAAACATAAACTGTTGCCCACAATGAATATTTAGAACAATTTTGGGTAATTTTGGGGTATTATGGGGGACTTTATTATGGGGGATTTCCAAAATCCATTAAGGTATCCCCATAATACCCCAAAATACCCCTTGGCTTCCCCCCGTTCCTGCTTTATTGTGGCAAGCAAACCCATTGCTAGCTTCTCTTATACCAAGGGTTAAAACAAAGGCCATTATGCCATTAGAAAAATTACGGGCATTGTCCTCAGTTACATCGACGCAACAAACTTGTGAGAGCTGGATCTTTGGTTTTATTTCTAGAACAATCTGTCCCTGTTTTACCAAGGGTTAAAGCAAAGGCCATTATGCCATTAGAAAAACCTCTACATCTTTAATACGTAGCTAGGTAACGTATTTTGTTTTAACTCGTTTCTAGATCTGCTCATACAACAGATCAATCAGTGACCTCTGCTCGCACAACATATTATCAACCAGTGACACTGTACTGCTGCCCGGACAGCAAAACAACCAGTGACCTCTCCTCGTACAGCATATCACCCATTGACTGCTGCACTGCTTGCTTTTAGTATTTTAATCGAAAAAAAGCCTACAAATAAGGATTAATTTCAATTTTCCAGCAATTTTCGGCAGCCTTAAATTTCCTATTTTTAGCACCCAGTTCCGGTCCGGCAAACTGGAAAATTGATTGATATTCGGTCGTTTCCGGTCCAGCAACCTAAACCCAAACCGGTCGGTTTAATGCTTACCATTTAAGCGGGCATATTGATTTATTATTGGCGTCATTTGTTAATACGGCTCCATAGAAATTTCTGCATTTTTACACCACGGTTTTTAAAACATTATCATAAATTAATACGAAGTACTAAGTTAATAACAAGTTACATTAACTTTTATCAGATACAATGACGATGTTAATAATATATCGATTGATATTTTCTCTGTCACTGTCTCATTGTGCGAAGATGAGACAAAGACAGCCTGGTGAGGTTATACCAGATAGTGCGGAACACTCTGGCACCAACGCCTCCTCGGACATTGCTGCAAACGCCATAGATCAGAACCTGAATACTAAGTCTAGTGCTTCCTTAAAAACTGGCGGTCTTAGATGGTTAAAGATAAAACTTGACCGGATGTACTGTATAGACAAGGTTGTGCGGTTTCAGCAAGGTGGTAAACCTGGTGCAACCTGGACTTGCTCACATACTGACTGCTCTTCCTGTGAAGGGAACTCCTGTGACAGTCATCTGAAGCTAACAACCTTTTTTGAAGGAGGAGACACTGCTAGTGTCTCTTATGACCCGGACTGTAAGAACGGAGATACGGTGAAGCTAGAGAAAAGCGACGGAGGTAAATTAGTGACGTGGGAGATTGCAGTATTTGAAAGAAAAGAGCACTGCCCAGCGGGGACGTATCAACCAGCGGATCAAACAGTCTGTATAGCATGTGGTAGGAACACTATCAGTGATGTCTGCACACTCTGTAATTTAGGAGAGGCTTCTAACGAGGAACGTACGGAATGTGTTGACATGTGCCAAGGGAACATACAGAGATAACAAAGTCGAGATCTGCACAGATTGCCCTGACAACACCTTCACTGGACAAAAAGGATCAGAGACATGCACTCCTTGCCCCGCAGGATACATCTCAAACTCAGATGGAATTTCTTGTAAAGCCTGTGCAAGAGGAAAATACAGAGATAACACAGTCGAAATCTGCACAGATTGCCCTGACAACTACGTCACTGAACAAAAGGATCAGAGAAATGCACTCCTTGCTCCGCAGGATACATCTCAAACTCAGATGGAAATTCTTGTGAAGCCTGTGCAACAGGAGCGTACAGATCGGATGATGCTACAGAATGTGAACATGTATCTGAAGTATTGGATGTCGACGATGCCCGTAAGTACTTTAATATGGGAACAAACTTTACATTGTTTACCAATTAATATTTGTTATTCAAGAAAAGTAAACTTCTAGATATAGGGAATCTAGGAGTTTACTTTTCTTTTGTATAATTTCTGTACTAGCTAATACTAGCAGTTATTGTGGTCACGTGACCAGGATAAGGTCAAGGAGTCTGAGGAGTAAGATAATTTAGAATCTTAGTTTTTAAGAACTTGATAAGTTAACTGAATTCGGATCCGAGCCCTTGTCAGTACAGATATTGATTTTGCCGTTTAGTTACGATCAAGGCTAATCACTTTCACTTTCACCCTTAGGATTAACTCTGCATTTAAAACTCAAGATTCGCTATCTTAGTGATAGCGCTATAGAAGCACACAAACAATAGGCATATTCACATTTAATACACAGAAAACAAGGGCACGTGCATATAAATTATAAGTGTGCACATATTGTACGACGCACGTGCAGATGATTAACATACCAATTCAGCGTGAACCTCCAGCTCGGCGAAAGTAGAAAAGTCCCTGTTTTTCACGTAACTCATCAGGTAACTCACCATGTTGTCTTTGTGTCGATACGAATTTATCACCTGCAAAACAATAATTCTATTATAATTCAAGCTACTTTGGATTTATCGCTGGTATCATCGCGCTAATATTATTTTCTAAACAGGTTTAATTTACTTTAGTCTTGTAAATGTAGACAATCTAATTAATTTAGTAGCCACGAGTATCCTGCTGGAATTAAGTCTATTGAAACTTTCATCGGTTCGGCTAGACTAAGGTGGTACGGACAGAATGCCAGAGACACGGTTTCCCAATTTTTTACTAGATTGGAAACCAAACTATGGAAAGAGACTGAGAGGACGACCCCGCAAAGGCTGGATGGCCTGTGTACTCGAGGAAGCGGCGGACTTTACAGGTATCGATAACATCAGCAGAGACGCAGTAAAACAGTTAGCTCTAAAACGAGTGGAATGGAGGAACATGTTACACCGTTGAAAAGATGTGTGTGAATGTGTGATGCAGGCCACTCCGACAACTAGGAGGAGACCTCTTCGTTTAGCATGTATTTATGAGTATCCTGTAAACCTAACTCAAAGTACGGTACCGTTAAGAGAAGGTACCTTATTAAGGTATAGGTACCGTACCTATACTGCTTAACATTTAGATATTTAGTGAACTTTCAGCAGATTCGGTGCTAGGGGTAGGCACCACAAGTTTACAGCAGCAACAAATATCCACCTTTTTTTCTTACTGTTGGTGTAGGTCGCTTATGGAGTTATGGTGATTGGTGTTCTCCAAAAACCTACCTTTTCAATAACTTTATATAGAGATTTTTTGTTACATTTTACCTTTTGAATATTAAGGTATGTATTTCAGACTCATTTGTCATTTGACTCTATACTCTTTATTTCTGTGGACAGACTTGACTGATAAGACCTATAAAAAGGTCTTATATAACCAAGTGCAGCTGGCAACATCGATTTAGTCTTTGGTCCACGATGAGAGCAAGAATCCGCACCATATCCCCCCCCCCCCCCCCCCCACGTATAGGATCGTTCAAACTCAGACGCGGAGACTGTTACATTACTGTAACACAAACAAAGAAGGAAATGAGAGCATTTCTTGAAAACAGTCGCATGGCCCTGCGAGAGGAAAATAAATTAGAAAATCTGGAGTTTTTAGAGTCAGGAAGTATTATAGGAAGCTATGTACCTGTGGCCTGTAGCCATAGGCTACGACGTGGCATCCGGTATAATTGTAGACAGAACGTGTACTACAGCACAGTGTTATCGACAATGTTATGCGAATAAATTAGCCCGGATAATATGCAGTTTTCATGGAGGACTCTTAAGAAATACCTGTGAGAAGGTAATATGAACTTCGAATAAATTATGTATGTGATTGCTGCCTCCCCCTAGAAGAGATTTTAGTTCTTCCTTAAAATTTGTGTAGTAGTTGTACAGCAATACTAAGGTAATGGGACTACTGCGGACCCTCTAACGGCCAAACCTTGTTAACAAAGCCTTAAAATCCTAAGAATTCTAGGTGAATGACAAGATGAACACGATAAGTTAATAAAATTATTTGATCCAATACGTACAATTTTTCCCCAAATTAGTAAACCATAATATCATGTTAACATAAAAAACATAATTATAAAAACTATTTTAAACGCTCAATGTATGGCATGACAAGATACCGTACAAATGTTTAAAAATTACTTGCTCCAATTAAGATCATAACTACGAGAATTGTGTAAAACTCTTACAATAGCTCTCCTCAAAACATATTCTAAATTGGAACCTTCAATTTATTATACACATAATTAAATCAAGAGCTGGTCACATATCTCACATTTAAGTCAAGAAGTCTCAAAATTAAAATCCATAAACGTATCCGTGACACCACTAAAGTAGTCCCTGACTCCACTAACCACTAGCGAGTCTTTGACTCCACTAAACGCGTCCCTGACTCCACTAAACGCGTCCCTGACTCCACTAAACGCGTCCCTGACTCCACTCTGGTCTAAGTACAGTTGTTGCAGGTAGCCTGACAATCGTTGGCAATGTCCTTGTAGTAGAAATGGTTCCTCTCACACCAACCTCTAGACTTGTAGTTAGCACAAGAGTCGGACACATCCCTAGCCACAGCGCAGATCTCATCCTTGCACCCAGCACAGGAGTACGAGCAGTTCTTAGCCATGAACCCAGAGTGAGAAGCCCGGTCACACAGCCCCTTCTCGGCCCACTTCCTGCAGTGTGTGTTGTAGTCAGAGAGCTGCGCGCATTCCTCCCCCTCACCGTACAGCGCGACCTGACACCCATTACAGGAGAACGGGCAGTGCTTCATCGTGTAGTCGTAGTCCTGTCCCAGGTAGGAGCACTTGCCAGCTAGCATCCACTTGTGGCACTGTGGTAGTGTGTCTTCTAGATTAGGACAGTCGTCTTGTTTAGTGAACTGGAACCCACAGTTGGAGCAGGAGCTAGGACACAGTTTCCTGGCTTGCTTGTGAAACTGTGAGTCAGACTCACAGTACCCCAGGTCAAACCAGCCGGCACATTGTGTATTGTAGTCTCGGATTGAAGAACAATCCTCCTCACATTGTCCCCCACACAGCAGTGTAGCTAGTACCACTATCACGAGCTTCATAACTTTCCAGACGCAAAGCAAAATATTAACGAAGATTAACGGACGGAACTGCCAAATTACAGGACGTATCAAACACAAGGAATAAGAATTTGTCTCGACCTATTGAAGGGTTTGAACTGTGTGTCACCGACCAAGCTTTTAAATAAAACTGAAAATCAAATCTTCCCGTCCTTATATCACTGTCTCTCATCTAATTACCTGGTCATCAAATTACGTTATAGATTCTAGAGGTCATGTCAGCCGTGAAGCCGTGACATTACAGCTATTCGGAGACCTGATCTGTTTGTGATACTCCAATTTGATAATTACAGTCAAATCATTTGCACAAATCATTTGCACAGCTTGAGTTATGCTATGTTGTGTTAAACGTTCTGACACGCAGCTTTAGTTAAATCACTCCGCACGAATCACCGTAACTTATTTGTAATGAGGTTATTTAATCTATTCTGGGGGTATTTATAGAATTTGCTGTATTGTTAAGAATTAAATACTCCCTAGTACCGCTCTAAATATTAGATTTTTAAAATTCCAACTCAGTAAAGGCTGCGCTGGAGACGGATCATTCATCGTTCAGCTCGCTGAGGAATGTGGAAAAGGAGGAGCAGAAGAATGTTCTGTCCCCAGGGGTCGACCGAGGGCAGGATTTTCGACCGAGGCCGAGGCCGAGGAAAATACAGTTAGTTAAGACCGAGGCCGAGGACAACCGAGGTTTCTTTTTTTGACCGAGGCCGAGGCCGAGGCCGAGGAGTGCAAATTTTGACCGAGGCCGAGGAATTTTGGCAGAAAAATTGTTGGGAAAAAGGGCATTGTTTATTAGGAAAAGCGCACTGTACCTAATCAGATTGTACTGTGTACTATACTGTGTACACACGTTACAATCATTATGAAGGGGCAAGTTCGCCAAGAGTCAGGAGTGGGCATGCTAATAAGCAGAGCTATCCGAGGTACCGCGACAATTGACCCCCCGACAATTGACCCCCGACAATTGACCCCCCGACAATTGACCCCCCGACAATTGACCCCTATGTAATTACACTGGGGTCAATTGTCGCGAAATCTAGGGTTTAGTACGACAATTGACCCCCCGACAATTGACCCCCATGTAATTACACTGGGGTCAATTGATCGGGTCCTGGGTCAGGGTTAGGGTTAGGGTCAGGGTCAGGGTCAGGGTCCTGGGTCCTGGGTCCTGGGTCTTGGGTCCTGGGTCCTGGGTCAGGGTCAAGGTCAGCCGTGGGTCAATTGTCGGGGGGTAAATTGTCGGGGGTCAATTGTCGGGGGGTCAATTGTCGGGGGGTCAATTGTCGCCCACCCCTATCCGAACCTTGCTGAGCGTTCAAGGAAATATCTATCTGCGCCGGCGAGCTCAGCAGCACCAGAGAGATTGTTTTCTACAGCAGGGCACATCCTGAAGTTAAATCGCCTCAGCCTTAAGCCAACAAACTTTGAGGGGTGCTTGTTTCTCAAAAAGAACATCGGAACATTTGGGGACAACTTCGGCCCCTGTCCAAATGAATTTGAAGCCCCAAATAAAGAGGACTGTCCCCCTTCTTCTGAGCTGTGCACAGAAGATTATTCTGATTCAGAGTGCTCAGATATTGTCATTTCATCAGACGATGAATCTTAGACTATGATATTTTTAGTTTTGTGTCCTGGTCAATTGGTCGTTTTATTTTCAATTTTACAAATTCGTTTACATTAACCTCACAAACCTTACAAAAATCCTCGGTCAAATCCTCGGTAAAATCGTCAAATTTCGCCGAGGCCGAGGAATTTCGAATCTATTTTTGACCGAGGCCGAGGCGAACCGAGGAATTGTCCTCCTGACCGAGGCCGAGGCCGAGGCCGAGGAAAAATCGCCATTCCTCGGTAAAACCGAGGCCGAGGCCGAGGACTCGGTCGACCCTTGTCTGTCCCGGAGGTTTGGGTTAGGTTTGAAGTGATAGCCTACTTTCTCTAATTTCTGACGTGTCAATGAAAATAATGACATAAGAAAACAGCCGGTAACCGGAACTGAAGAGTACGCCAAATAAATAAATATATTTTATTTGCAAGTGTCTTGACACCACTTTATCGGGTTCCGGTTACCACGTAACTCCAATGTTAAGCTTCTGATGGACGGACTTTCTGCTAGTTTATAGTAAAGTGGGAAAAAAGAAAACGACTGTTTAATAATATTTCAAAAATAACACAGATCGAACATGAACATTTGCATTCCCGAGCTCCTGCTAGTTAACACATGTGAGCATGTTTACATGTACCCTCACACATGACAGTACCACAGGGACATCCCTCCTCTGTCTCAGTCTCACAATCTTCCTCCTCTTCTTCAGGAACGTAGGCTGGATCGTTGTCTTTTTTATTCGTCTTAACCAACTTGGGAACTGCTCCCCATCTGTAGTACTCGCATTTGTCTGTACCTCTGGCAGTTCGGAAATAACCTTTCTCGCCCCAGGAAGTACCCCAACTGTTCTTTACAATCATGGACTTGGCCGTGTACCCCACAGCAGTTACAGCGTGGTTAGCCATCCCCCATTGACCACACCCTTTGTTACCGCACTTGCATGTCGTGTCTTTAATAATTCCACTCTCGTAGTTAAAGAAAATGTCTGTCACTTCAAAGGCAATCCCAACTGCTGATTTAGCTAAATACGTGATAAGATTCTTCTCTCCCGCAGGGATTGTGTAGTACGATTTCCTGTGATGAAACTTGGCAGCAATCAAACCGTTGTGTTTCCTTTTATATGCTTTACATTTCCTCTTGCTGCTTGTTCCGGTATAGGGGGCGTCTGTTGTCAGACTTAGACGTCCATTATCCTTTGAGTAATCCCATGCGGTTTCGTAAAATCCACCATCGCATCCTTCCGAAGGGAAAACACAGTCCGTGTATTCCTGCTCTGAAAAAGACTTTAATTTTCCAGTCATAATAGCGTATGTTGTTTCCAGAGGTCCAACAGCTCCAAAAGCCCAGCAGGATCCGCAGCTGCCTTGGTCTTTAACCCCTGTCGTCTTACCCTCTTCTCTCCAGTCCACTGCTTCCTTCACTTTCTGCTTCTTACCAGATTTCAGAGTAAACGATAGTTCCTTTCCCTGGTGGAGAAGTGAAGAGTTTAGTCCTAGGAAACCATGTTTCTCCTCAGAACTCATATCAGCGAACTTGTTGAGGCCTAGTTTCCATGAAGGGTGATCAGAGTTCCCTTTTGCGATTTCTTTCACTGTTCTTGTAAAGAGTTTCAACCTATCAGCAGACTTTTCCTTCCCCTCATCGTCAGAGTACACGGTGTAGAGACTCAGAAGTTGTCCGGGTTTCTGGAGTGCAGCTCCAAGACTCAGCTGACTGTACAACTTAGAACCGACAGTGCCGAACAGGAACACAACTAAAAGTATATACTTCATGGTTGTAGTGATGTGGTCGAATAATGTGGTTGGAGAGTTAAATGTGCTTTTATAGTGATGAAAAGGTAAACCTTTTGTGGGACTATGAGGAAGACAAAACTTTGTTGTGGCACAAAATTTAGCTAACTTAATAGGCGAATCAAATTAATTTTTCAAATATTATTGTCTCTTTTATCTTTTTATTGCTTTTGTTCCATAGGTGTAGGTGTCGTAATTTAATGAAAACAATAAATAAAACAAAAACATTAAATTTCCACGTACAATTTAAACAATGGATAGTCTAGTCGTAGTTTGAACTAACAATTCAATTAACTTAAAACTTTCTAGAACTAATGATTATACAAACTAATGATAATAATTTCCATTCCACTGTAACCACCAATCGAATTAACTTCACCGTTCAGAACGAATGATGCTAATTACTTTACTAACTAATAGACGTGATAATTTCTATGCATGGAACTTATCTTATTATTGAGTTTTCAATTTGAGACATAAATTTGGAAGTTATAAAAGTTGACGAGATGAAGGGTAACGAAGGTATCGAACGTTAGATCACGATGTTCATACAAAATTACAGATTTATGAATTTGTAACATCAAAATTTAATCACAATATTAATAACATCACGATCATTCACATTATTACCCAACAGTAGATAAAACAATATGAAAATTTAACATTACCCCACCCCTCAATAACCTGCATTGCAGCGTCAATATCCACCAGACTCTGAGCAATGTTCTCCCTGTCAAACGTCATGATAGCCTGCATGAAGCCTATATTACAGTAGGCCATGGCTGCGTACATGTCGGTGTCCTTGTAGCAGGCCACGCATTCCCGCGCTGCTTCTATCCTGGGGATACACAGTTTATAATTGTAAGATTAGATAATATCTTACTTTATTAATAATAATAGGAGTCTTCACTTGAACTATTTACCTAAAGCTTCACAGGTAGTGTGTTCAAATAGAACATTAATAACAATCATAGCTTTACTTCGAAAAGTTTGAGTTAGTGAGTAATACACGACGGACAAGTATTTCATTGGAATACTTGAAGATGGATTATTGGTAGACGAATGAGAGTGTATTTAATTACTACACAGAACTTGTCACAAGAGATCAGCATAGTTACTTATTACTTACTGTTATTAGTCACTCTCACTAACTTTTACTTTAGTTACTGTGTAAGTTAGCTAATGTTTAATCGACAAACTAGACTTGACGGTATAGCTGTACTGGGCTTGTGGCCAAAATCACAAAATTTTACCATCACTCGTTAAATAACTCAAAAACAATATTTTATACAAATACTAGAAAACCCGTGGTCACAGGGAGGAAGCTTATAGCTTAATAGTATTTTTTGTTTGTAAGTTTAAATCGAGTCTAAAAATATCCTACTCAACCGAAGATACAGCCGATTAAAATGTTGCTCGCACTAAACACAACGTAATATCAACAAAACCGATAAAAATGCCGTTTTAACAATCTTTGCACGTGCACGTGCGTGTAACAACCCTCGTTACCATAGTTACTTGGCAACCTTTTGCTTTTTACCTAATTTGCACGTGGGCGGTCGTACAAACATTGTACAAACATTGTACAAAGGGAATTCTCTGAATTTTATAAAAATATGGGGTCTATTTTCTACCGCTCTGGACGAGCATCTTACAGTTACTCTTTTGTGTACACTGCTACTTATTGTAAAGAGTACAAAGTGGTACAATGACAGGGAACCACAATAACTAACTTTTCAATGAGCTAGTTTTCTGTGCCAAGAACTGACTTATCACTATATTACGTGACCAACATCTTGTACAATGTGCATTGTTATTCTTAAATCAATTTTAATGATAATTACTAATAGTAATATAAACTAGTGAATCAACAGACAGTTTATGTGTGTGCACTAAATGACATATCGAGTCAAATAACCTGTTTGAAAGGAGACGATCTCTTGCTTCGGCAGCTCTAGAAATAGACGTAGCAATAGTTACCTCACCCTCCATGCCCTGTTTAGAGGAATATATTAGGTTGATTGTTAGATGCTACTAGATGGTAACGATGCTGAGAAAGGATACATCAACTATCAGTGCAGAATCAGGTTGAGTGATAGTAAAACTAAAAGTCTATTATTGGTTCAAATTGGAGCACCTGTTGTCAATTGCAACGTAATAATATTAACTTTACTTAAAAATATAAACAAGGTATAGTTAAAAACAACTCTCAGGTCTAATCTTTCTGTACAATAAAAACTTGTCAGACTCCACTGTAGATTCTGCCAATATCTCTTGTCAAAATGATTCCTTTTATTCTGATGATTTTCTTTTTATCAAAGCTTTCTTTAATAAGGGGTCGTTCACATATTACGTAATCAATATTTTAGCAATTTTTACCCCCCTCCCCCGTTCTGTAATCAACCGTAATCAAGACCCAACCCCCCCCCCCCTCCTGACAGCAATATTACGTAATCATGGCCTAACCCCCCCCCCCCCCCCCCCCCTTGACTTTTTTCCTAGAAAACACTTTTCTCTGACTCTACGTTTCATGCTACCCTGATCATGCTATCATGATGAGCCGAAATCATTGTTATGATATCCGGCCAAGCACCTTCTAAACTACTTACTATTATAGCCGGATGTTCGATCAATTTCTAAATTTTATCACTATCAGAGTGAAATTGAGTGGAATTTGAATTAAAATATGAAATTGTTATTATTTTAGAGGGTAAAAAAGAAAATTTTGATTACGTAATCAACAACCGAAACCCCCCCCCCCCCCCCCCCGTAATCAACCATAAATTTGGAAACCCCCCTCCCCCCTTGGCTGATTACGTAATATGTGAACGACCCCTAATCTAACTTTCTGTACCCCAATTGTGTCTTTTGCCACCCACAGTGAACTCAACAATTGGTCATTGAAATTTGTTGAAAGCTGTAATCTGAAAATGTCCTACCGGTAGGTAATTGTCCTTTGGTCAGACTTTTCCCCCCGGATACCCAGCTTCCAGTACCTTGATGGTTACTTTTTTCACTCACACTGACCTCACTGATATGCAACTGGTCGAAAATTCAGTTAAAACCGCAAAATTTTGGTCAAGGAGATGGCAGAAAAGCTTCTCTTCAAAAATCGTCCAAAATGTCATCTATTCTTCTGATGATTTTCCGTTTATCAAAGCTTTCTTTGGGGATAGAACTTTCAGTACCTCAATCGTGTCTTGTGAGACGGCAGAAAAGCTTCTATTAAAAAATCTTCAAAGTGTTTCCTTCTATTCTGATGATTTTCCGGTAATTTTGAAAGCTTTCTTTGGTAATCCAACTTGCAGTACCCCAATAGTATATTGTGCAATACGGAGTATACATATAGATCAAAAAGATTATTGATAAAAAGATTTCGTTTACATAAATTATGTAATAGTATTAATAGTTAATAGTACTATGTTTACAGTATGCACTGAAGGGGTAAATTTCTTGAATTTTTAACAGGTACCCCTCCTCATTTAACCCTCAATTAAGTTTCCTATCATTCGGCTGAGTCGACCGAGGAGATCGCATAGATCTAATGGATCCTTAGCTACTCCCTAGACTAGGTGACACTGGGATTCGAACCCTGAACTTTCTGCGCAGATGTAACTACAATCAGTGAAAAAAGATTGCTTTGTGGTATTTCTCTTCCATTCTCCCTGATTTAATATAATCGTTGTATTGTTGGCAAAAATTAGAGGGGAAAACGCTAGTCCATCATCAAGAACCCGTAAAACATGTCCTAACATTATTCTCCGCTGACTACAGTCCATTTTTCCGACAATGGTTCAACATGCTGATTCCGAATCACACACACCCCGCCATGAAATGGGTTAAAATTCTCCTCTAGCGAGACGTTGGCGAAAAACTGTCTCGATCACGTGATATGACCATACAAGAAATTGAAGTTGGTCTAATTTTAACGGGTGATACTCGTATAATATCTGTTCCATATATTATTCCATATATTACCGTTCCATATATTACCGTTCCATATATTACCGTCCAACTCGGCGCGCGTCCTGGTAGGTTGTAAACCTACAAGTCTAATTTCTCGTTAGGGTTAGGTTTCAGCATATGCTTTTGTTTAAGATTGAGTTAGCGTTACGGTTGGGATCAGATAAGAGGGCTATGATTTCAATTATTCGTTCCGGGCCATCAAGAGAACGTGTTTCAAAAGTTACGTCACAGTCGAGTGTAAAGTGATTAATCATCATTATTCATGTACAATACGATATATAAACTCGAAAATGGAAAATTTATCGCCGTACATTAAGATTGGCATGTAAATTAAATATAATAACCTTAATGGATGATACTCATAGCTAAATCATAAATTTCTTCGAAGTAGCGCTTGTAGGTTTATAACCTACCAGGACGCGCGCCGAGGTGGACTTTGATTGACGATGTCAATCCTTCGCATCTCGCCGATCTGCTTAAGGTTGCGAGAAGCATTATTTGATGCGCGCGCGACCCAGTAGTGCATTGCGCTACAAAGGTGGACTCGTATGGAACAAATATTTTACGAGTATCACCCGTAAAAATACTCAGCCTGAGGTAAGTGCTACGAAGTAGCGCGCGCTGGCTTAGTCCATTAGCGCAGCATGCATGTACATGAAAAATACGAAATAACGCGCACTGGGTTAGCCCATTAACAATAAAATTAGTAACCTGCCGGCCGCAGCTGATTTAATATGCATTAAAGAATATTCAGTAAGTTAGCTTTTAATGTTGAATGTACGCTTTATTTAGTTGGTAGTTCGGAAATGTAAACCAGACTCTTTTTATTAGCTGCGCGCCGAACCAGTGTTTTTTTACCGGGGGATCTCAGGCTATCATGTTTTTAAACAAAGAGATTCGGTGGAATGACAGGCTGAGCGCGGCCCAGTAAGTGTTTTTAAGTATTGTCAATTGCAATGTGTCTACTTTTGTCCATGTTGTAAATTGTAAGTGTAAATTAATAAATTAATTTATTAATTCATCACTTGTACAGTTGTACACATATCATGATCACAAATTATTTTATTATAATAAAACAATTTCATTTCTGTGAAATGCAGTTAATTGAACTTTAAATTGTGAATATTTAAACTAAATATGAATTGATTGTGGGTATAAAATACAAATTTTTTAAATTTTTTATTAGCAGCGCCAAGCGCCCGCGCCAAAGCATGACGACGGCGATTAAGGAGACAAGCGTATTACGTATAGTACACGAAGACACATGATTAGGAGGCACATGGTTACTGGTTAGGAAATAGGAGGCCATCTACTTAGGACGTCCGCCAAAATCGCAGATTTTCAGACCACCCCTCCCCCTGTCATGTTATGTATGTACGCGCCGGGTGTCCGAATTTTCAAAACCACCCCCTCCCTAGTTGCTGGACGTACCCTAAGTAGTTAATTGACGATGTCAATTCATGGCAGCTCGGCGCGGCACAGTAGCGCCAGTCGCTGTGAGAAGCCTCATTGAGTGCGCGGCGCGGCACAGTAACGCATCGCGCTACAACCTAAGTAGATGGCCCCTTGTCACTTGTCATACGTTGTATGACCCGCCGCGCACGAGTGCGCGGCTCCCCCTGTATCGTAGAAACGCTACAGGGGGGGGGGGGCCAATGGCATAAAATGGCATAAAATGGAGACTTTTTCTATGGAGAAAATGGAAAAACCCATGAGTAATTCTCCATTTTCTCCATTTTATGCCATGAATTTTGTCTTCGAAATTTCATCTTTAACACCATTTAACACCTAAATTGGACATCCTAACATGTTTATTTACGCTTACTAGGGGCTTAACAAGCTTATGAAAGCTCATAGTAGGCTACTAGATGCTTATACTAGGTTAGTAGAGGCACACTTCAGGCAAACTCATAATTACTCAAGCCTAGTGTAAAGTTATTTCTACAGGCTACAGCTGCAGGAGTGAGTAATAGGGGAGAGTAATAGGCACTGAGAAGTGAGACCTACATCCTCGACAGTCGAAACAGGCTCGCACTGCAAAGGGGAGGCCTGCCTTCCGAGATCGCATTACCAGGGGGAAGCCTCGAGTCCAAATTTGTGTATCGAGGGGTAGGTGCAGACTTCGATAAACCGAAAAACCAAAAAAAAATTTTCGGCTTATAATGAAGTGGGTAGCATGAAACGTGGAGAAAAGTGGTTTTCAGAAAAACTTTGAAACATTTTGACTTAGAAAATTTTCGGCCCGAGTCATTCTCGATACGTACCTCTCGTATCGAGAGCTCCCGATTCCGAGCTCGTGTTGCAAAGGGGAGGCCTGCCTTCCGAGATCGCATTACCAGGGGGAAGCCTCGAGTCCAAATTTGTGTATCGAGGGGTAGGTGCAGACTTCGATAAACCGAAAAACCAAAAAAATATTTTCGGCTTATAATGAAGAGGGTACAGCATGAAACGTGGAGAAAAGTGGTTTTTAGAAAAACTTTGAAAAATTTTGACTTAGAAAATTTTCGGCCCGAGTCATTCTCGATAATATACGTACCTCTCGTATCGAGAGCTCCCGATTCCGAGCTCGTGTTGCAAAGGGGAGGCCTTCCTTCCGAGATCGCATTACCAGGGGGAAGCCTCGAGTCCAAAATTGTGTACCGAGGGGTAATTTTTAAGTCAACATTTTTCAAAGTTTTTCTGAAAAACACTTTTCTCCACGTTTCATGCTACCTTGTTCATTTTAAGCCGAAAATATTTTTTCGGTCAAAATTTTTCAAATTTTTTCTGAAAACCGCTTTTCTCCACGTTTCATGCTACTCTGTTCATTATTTAATTTGCCGAAAATATTTTTTCGGTTTTTCGAAGTCCACACCTTCCCCTCGATACACAATTTTGGACTCGAGGTAATGCGATCTCGGAAGGCAGGCCTCCCCTTTGCAACACGAGCTCGGAATCGGGAGCTCTCGATACGGGAGGTACGTATCGAAAATGACTCGGACCGAACATTTTCTAGGTCAGCATTTTTCAAATTTTTTCTGAAAACCGCTTTTCTCCACGTTTCATGCTACCCTGTTCATTATTTGCCGAAAATATTTTTTCGGTTTTTTGAAGTCCACACCTTCCCCTCGATACACAATTTTGGACTCGAGGTAATGCGATCTCGGAAGGCAGGCCTCCCCTTTGCAACACGAGCTGGGAATCGGGAGCTCTCGATACAGGAGGTACGTATCGTAAATGACTCGGACCGAACATTTTCTAAGTCAACATTTTTCAAAGTTTTTCTGAAAACCACTTTTCTCCATGGTTCATGATACTCTGTTCATTATTTATAATTGGCCGAAAATATCTTTTAAAAAAATAATTTTTCTCGAAATTCTAAATTTTTCAGGTTTTCAATGGCATAAAATGGCATAAAATGGAGACTATTTCTATGGAGAAAATGGAAAAACCTATGAGTAATTCTCCATTTTCTCCATTTATGCCATTGGCCCCCCCCCCCCGCTACAGGTGAAATTACGACAATGGGGGTCCCGGGTCACGACGTGATCCAAATGGCCCCTATGTGAACTCGACGGTCACGTGTCTTTTTATTTTGGTTGTAATTTTAATGACAAGCACAAACAATTTCGTTTTTCATAAAATGGTTCGAAATAGATTTAACCAAATTATCCAGATTTTTGCGATACAAATTTATGAAGAGAAAGTGACTAGTTTTCTTTTATAGTTTCTGAGTAAACAAATGTAATGCAACCAACTTAATAACTCTAAAGTTTGAATGAAAAATAATTGCAATGTAAAATTAAATACATTATACTTTGTCCTGTTACAAATTTACAAGTTCTTTATACAGATAATAAAAGTCTTACTGACACTATGAAGAATGATCACCCGTGTAGATGCAGAATATTTTTTCATTGGGCAACACAGCAATTAAACGACCATAACTGACAACAGCGACTATATGATAACAACTGTGTTGCCCATCCAAAAAACGACTTCGCTCCAGCCCCGATCACATCGTCTTTTGAAATCGTCCAATTGTTCAGTAAATCTCGTTATCAGGCTTATTGTTTGTTCATTTCGCCGTACTGAGAGTTTGGAGGAAGTCTCTGGATTGTTGTTCTTGGTTATCTTTCTGCATCCACACCAACCACATCAACGATCTGGTTGACTGAAGGGAATATTGATTTAGTTGCAAAAGAGAATGAAAGTTGAAATTGATCACAACCTGAACAATCTAATATTCATTTTAACTTATTGGTGTAAATTGGTCATATCTAGATATCTCTCCCTCCTTGCCTAATAATAATAGATAATGAATCATCAATAGCTTTAACCCCGCCTAAGATAAACGTATTGTTACTCGCGTACCTGGTAATGGAAGTAGCGGAGAGACTCATACTCTGAGAGGTTGGTATGGGTTGCACGATGTCTCTTAAAGTCTGGATGTGAGTAGTGGAGGCATCTGATATGTTCCGTAGCTGGTACACCGTAACGTGACCACTGCTATCTCCCACCAGTAGAGTACTCGAGCCCTGGGAAGGTTTGGTTTTAAGGGACATGGAGGAGGAGACTTTTCAACGGAGGAAAAGGGCCTTTGAGTTTGTACTTAATATCCGTTTTGTTCTGTATAGAGCGTTATATGACAAACGGAAACATTTAGAGAGAAATGAGAATTAAGTGGAGCAAGTGCTCAAATGTAAAAAGATCCAAACATTTTAAGTGTAGTATGAAGTGTTAATGTGTTATGTAGAAATTTGTGAATTTTGTAAACCTCGGAGAAGAGGAATGTTGAGAGTCTGGTTTCAGGGTCAGATACACTAGATATTATCACTGGATCTAGGTTAGTCGCCCTCAGATCCCATATCTCTATCCTGAAATGCTTCAAGTTAGATCACAGAAGAGAGAGAAAATATCCTTTGATTAACTGACTCTATCGAGCTGATGAAAAGAATATTTATGTCATGTTATGTGTTATGGTGTTCCCATGACTTCCGAACTGCCACAGCTAGCACCACTATCCCCCTACCTGTTATCGCTGACAGCCCCGAAGACAGTTGCACAGACATTACTCCAGCAGATATCGTTAACACTCTTGGTAGAGGACACGAACGTAAGGACTGGTTTAGTTATGTCAGAGTGCCACAGTCGGATAGTCCAGTCTGAACCACAAGTCAGGAAACAGTCCTGACAAATGGAGACCACTTCACTTTGTACACAGGTCCTGGGTGGGGTAGATATTAGAAAAGTGCTTCTTCGTCGTTAAGCTCTCTTATTCCCTTCGTTAAAGCATTAGGAGCATCATGATAACTTAGAAATATTACAGCTGCTGGACAACTTCACAGGGTTGAGACTTTTCCTTGACAGGGTAAACTGAAACAATATTTGTCGGTCACCCGATAAGAACCAAAATTTGGATTAAAAACAAAACTTACCAGTGTGTCCCGTGTAGGTCTGTAAGTACTGCTCGTTGTAAGAACAACTACACTTGTGTATGAATCCCTCCTCTGTTGCAACCAAGTATATGTTGTTGTTCTTCGGGTAGAAGTCAAAACCTAGGCCTCCTGATATGGGAATACAAGTTGAGGAAAAGAAATATAGCATCGCCTGGAGGTTCATTTTTGAAATGGCAAATACAAAATTTGTATCGGTAATCATACCTATATTTCGAACATTTTTTTCGCTGACTCCAATAAGTTAACAAAGAATAAGAACAAAGTTTCATTCAACAGGACTATGCTTCGTTACTAACGAATAAGACTAACCAGCAAATCTAGAGATGAATGCTTCCCCCCTCATCTTCTGACCAGCCTTGCCAGCATCACCCTCTCCCTGCTGGTTCTGTGCTTGCGCGTCTTTTTGTTCAGGAGTGGTCTTCTTCCCGATCCTCTTCAATTTCATCAGGTCTACACTTTCAAACCCTTTCCTGATCATCCATTGTGTCACCTTGCCTGCAAGTGAAACGTTTAGAATAAGGAAAGAAGACTTAACTTTCTGTAGATATTACTATTAACGGTAATTAGAGGTATACTGATAGTGATAGTTGGATAATATCCGGTTGGAGGAGACAAGGACAAATGTAACAGGAAGTTAGGAATGTAGGCAAATTTTCGGCGTCAACGGCGTTAAAACTTTAAATACTTTCAACACTACTATATAACAAATAATTTGAGCCTGAAGATGGCATTGACGCCGAAAATTTGCCTACATTCCTAACTTCTTGTTTCATTTGTCCTTGTCTCTTCCAACCGGTTATTATCCAACTATCAGTATTTCAATCATGAGACTAATAAACAGCGAACTACTCCATCATTTGGTAATTAGAGGTACCTTCAGATGCTCGGAAAATAATGGGAATAGTTTAAATCTATTTACCGTCGGTACTAGAAGTAATAATATTCTCCGATCTCTCCTCCCCAGCATGGTACTCCCGTTCTATCCACTTTATCTCCCAAACAGGTCCCAGATGGTTACTAGGCGTCTCATTACTGTCCAGAATCTACAGAGAGGATGAAAATGGGGTTGATTTATTATTATTGAAATCAGGAAGAAGTAACGCAGATCTAAGCTAATAATAATAGGAGTTCAAATAAGCGAAGTATGTATAAGTTTCTGTTCAAAATTAAAGCCCACTTTGACTAGAAAATAAAAATTCTAGACTTACGGCGAGCTGAGAGCTGAAGCGGACATTATACACAGCAATAGTACCATTATACATGCCCACTGCCAGTAAGTTGGGGTTCTGGAGAGAGAAGTCCAGTGCAGTGATACCGGAGGAGGTCTTGTAGACTCTCTCTGGGTACTCGGGGTTCTTGATGGACCAGCAACATGCCATACCTGTTAAGGGAGATTTGAGTTACTGGGAGGGAGATACCTTTAGGTCCCAGTGTGGTTTCTTTTAATATCCAGATTCTGAATTTAGCAACAACAATTAGCAACATTTAACATGTTCAGGATTCCAGAACTGTTGCTAATTGTTTAAACCTGGTAAATAGACAAAATTCAGTTTCATAATATTATAATCTACTGTTAACAAATTCCATACCAGCGGAAAAACTTACCAGATTTTTGGTTAGTGAACCCGTATTCCCCGTAGCCAACTGCCAGGATATCATAATTCTTCTTATTCCATGTCATACAACTGATGTTGTGGGACTTGGTAAGAACTCCGCCATAAGTCCAGAGTCGCTCAACGTTCGGACCCAGAACTGATAGGTCAGCTTCCTCCTGGAAAGTTCATGGTTTAATCTCAGCTCAGGGAATTCCAGATATTTTGAGATTTATTCTCTAGAATGCTAGAATTTAGAGGGCTGACAGCGAATCTTTCAAACACATGTTGAATAATATACTCTAAAAATAAAATCGGATATCCTGCAGTAGCTGTCGTTAAGATATGATCTGGATTCTGGAGAAAAAATGTCACAGTTCCATGTTTCTCAGTATTCCGAGGAACCAAGACTACTGCTCCTTGACAGGTCTTGGACTCCATATCAACAACTTTAACAAGTTAAAGCTCTGTGCAAGCACGTAGGCTAGCACTGAAACCACCAAAAGTCTCTTTTCCGTATGTATCTCTATCTACCAGTTTCTCGATTTGACAGCAGACGATACTGATCTATCCTTGGCACATCACAAATCTCCGCTAAATCAGCTGTTTTTGTGCAGTTGCACAAGAAGACAGTTCTAATGAACGTGTCTGTAGCGACGAGTCTAGTGAAACTGGCTGAAGCTCTCTCTAAAAGTAAAACGACAATACTAATAGTCTAAAATACGGTAGTCTAAATCACTTTCTGTTCGACTGGGTCTGTCTCTTTTTTTGTTCGCAGACTATGGCTAGACACTCAGCCACAAAGCTATGGGTCACATGACCCATGGCGTATAATATTATATGTAATGTTCTGATAAACAATCTCAGCTTTTGTATTTTAGGGATGACGCAACAAAACTCCACCCATTGCAGACTAACAGCCGCTCTCCTGTATGACAATCTAACTACCATCTAAACTATCTGCTCACAGACTAAATTTACGTCTATTTACTCAGAAGTAGACAAGAAAGCATGAGTCACGGCTTAATTCTTTTCTGACGTATTTAACGCTATACTAACACTATATCTAACACCTTATTACACTTCTAGTACTACAACTGATTAATTACCATATAACCATACCATCTCCCGAGAAATCTCCACACGACTGTGTCCACAGATAAATACTTAATTAACCAATTAAAAGATAATGAGATAATGACTCAAACCTTGCTATCACCAGAGTCAGGGTCAGGTAATATCTTCATACTCCTGTACAGAGCCTGTTTACCCTGGTATATGTTCCTGGTAACGACCCTCTCCATGATACACAGGTTAGCTGCCAGAGAGGGTGAGTTGAGAATGTTCTCGGCTGTTCTTGCTTCTTCTTCTGCTGATACTTCTTGAGATTTGACGTTGTTCTGAGGTAGAAAGGGGATGTTAGCGAGTATGGAAATAAATATCACCTTGCGTGGAGGATTTTATAGAATCTCCACTCTCAAGCGATGAGGTTAAACCACTTGACCAATAGGCCCTAGTTTTTACATGATAGCTCTCTCGTTCTGCAGTCTCCGGTTTTTTCCGCGATCGGATTAAACACAAGTGATTTTTTTGTTATAAATTTATTTGTACCAAATAGATTATATGCTTTTTGGATTATGCGGTATTAGATAAATTTTATGCACAACATGTTTAACTTTACTAGGCGTGAAAAGTTCAAAAGACAGTCGACTCAGCTATTACTAAAGTTATGACAATCAGCATAACTATAATTAGTTGACAGTGTCAACTTGACACTGTCAACTCAACAGTTAGGTCCTATGAAGTCGTTATCAAAGTTAAACCTTATTCTAATTCTTAAAAGTAAATTAAACTAAACTGATAATAATTATAAACCTATCAACATGTTTAACGGAATTAGTACGATATTAACACAGTGTTAAATGTAAGCATGACAGTACCCCTTGCGCAGGTTGCTTGTCGTCCATGGCTACAGAGCTCTCCGTCATCACGCTGACGCTAAGTCTGCTACTCTCGTTACCCGTACTGGTACTCTCCCCAACTCCAGCAGGAAGTGCAGCCCCATTTTGGCCTTGTGACGCCGCCCCTTTCTCACCCTTCTTGTCAGGCTTTACTACCTCGCCCAGTATTTCGTCATCGTCGTTATCTGGGAGGAGTGAGGGTTCTAGTTATATATTGGGTGGTGATTTAATGGGTGGAGGCGTTGAGGCGTGTTTAGTGATTTTACAACTGACAACAGATATAATAATGAGCTGACAAATGAAAAATGGGATGGCAAATTAAACTATTTGAATATTTGAGAGTGGAATACATAAGTGGAAGTGTACGTATTCATTCTAGAACAGTCGAGCAAATCGTGGTTGATTAGTGGACGCAATACTAAGGAATTCTCAAGTCAGTTTGACTACGAAAATTAAGATAAAATCTCAACGCTAAGAGATATGTAATTAAAAGGCATGTTGTCGCTGAGTCGGACGGACTGTAGATCAGGGCGGATAAGAAGGTGTTTAAGAAGCCCTTACACAACTGAGGCTGTGTAAATTTACCCTCATTTAGAAGAACACAGACCGCAGACTGGGGATACTAAGATGTTATGTAATTGTACGTACTACAGAGGAGGGGTGTGAGGCATTAAAGAGGTTATGTCAGGCCACATGTCGGATAACCATTAGTACAGTTGCAGTAGCTGAATAGTTGGTCGCATAGTATGTAAGACCCTAACTACAGCTACATGTCACGTGTGTTGTCACGTGACAGTATGTAACACCTCAGGTGGAATCATGTTCTCATTGACATTATATGCTGTTGTTGGAGGTCACGACATGGCGCGGTTGATTTGTAGTTTGTCACGTATCTTGGTTTGTCTGGGCTGGAGTCATATGTGACACTTCCGCATTTAAAGGTCCATTTGTTAGCAAGTAGGATACATTTTAGAAGAACAAATTCAATATCTAAAACACCCTTTATAGGATCAAAATAGGTCAACATTTTTTCTGGTAATCAGTAAATTTTCAAACATATTTAATTTCATGAGTTCAAACAAATCACTCTAGGCTAGTCGAAATTAAAGATAAAGTCACCTGATAAATTCGCATAAGTTTTATCCAAGGTGGCATAAAAATTGGTTACAACAATTACCTTCCGGTGAGCTAACGCCGGAAGAAAATATCATAGAACGGTATGTGAAACCATCTACCTCTACTGTTTTGATTACTCAACCAATTTGCTAATTGTTCGAGCGGTCCGGGATTGTCCTTGAACCTTGCAGATCTTCTAAGCTTAGGTTCAAAACGTGTTGCCTAGTATAATAGTTGTCACATTTGAAATGAGCCGACATTGCTTTTCGTATAGCCTTTATTTAATGGTCACAATAACATTATAAGTCCACCAGACGGCGTTAGAAATGCGATGGTTACTTTATCTTTGCTCTTTTAGCTGGCGACAAATTAGTTTTACTGTATTAAGACTCTGTGAGTCTATGGGTGGTGTCCTGACTCCTAGTATGACGGACCTTTACTATCTTGTTCTCTTGTTTGACTTTGAATAAGTTGTTTCCTTTCAGTTCCCAGCATAACCAGGTCAAAGTTAAAATTTTGTCGTATTATATAACTTCTTCTATTTTAGTTAAAAGTTGAAAGTAACTAGGCAAACACAAGGATTTATTTCTTAATATGATATAATATCCCAGTACTCACCTCCATCCCCGGACCCCTTGCTAGCTTCCTCCAGCGCTTTATACGTATCGTACATGTCCCAGCTTGTAGCCATGCACCCGGTATCTCTGTCCCCTACTGGCTGTGTTTGAACAAGCTTCTGTTTGGTTGGGTTGTTCAAGGTCTGCATTCCTCTCGGCACGTAACTATCGTTACCTGTCAATATAGTAAATAAATAATAATAAATAAATAAATTAAATAAAACTGTGTCAATATAGAATAGTAAATATGGTGTAAAATCCGGATTGGAGTATTGTTTATGAGTCGCATTGTTGTAATGTATTCTGTGTAAAATTATATTTATCCCGGTTACTGCGAAGTAAAAATGCTCTTATTAGGGAAAAAAATATATGGAATAGTAAATGAATAATAATAAATAAAATAAAACTTTATGGCATTTATGCAGAAAAATTATAGTTACGCTAGTAGTCAATAAATAATAATATGAATTAGCCCTCCCAGATAATTATATACGATAAAAGGCCCTCTTTGTTTGTTTTAATGCGATATAGAGAGGGTTCGCTACACTCACTATCCCATTAATTAATTTCTTGATCAGATGACCAGGCAAAATATCATACCCATATCGGCAACAGGTTTGATGACCCGTCAAATAAAATAGCCGCTAAACCGCAGTGTTTCACACGCGGTCAATTGTAATGTTCATAATTTCGTTTTCCGTTGAATATTCCACCGGTTCATAATCATACTCATTATATTATTATAAATATCTCCGGGATTTCGACGCGGGATCATATTATCACTCAGCCCGGCCCGCTGTTAGATAAACATCTCAAGGTGATATCATCCCGCCCCGGAAATTTGTATAAACCCGGCCCGCTTTTTAGTCGTAACTGATGTTTATCATTCAATTCTCCGACTTACAATAATCAATGATACTATTACTGCTGATTAGAACTCGATAATAGTAGAACAGTTAGACGCGCGATCACGTGGGCGCGTCACGTGCGTACCACGTGCCACCAATAGCATACGCCGAGTCTATACCACGTGACACGAAAGCGCACCACGTGATATGAAACATCGTAACCGTCCACTTCTTTTACACGCAAATTCCTGGGAACGTTGCCAAAGCAGCTAATTCTTGGAATTTCTCCAACGCGTGGCGTGAGAAGTTGGCGACTAGCCAGCTACCCTTGTCCGTGCCCTAAAAATAGTATTGTTTTGCTTGCTCTCCTTCCAGCTCTTGTTCCTGCTAACGTTCAAGCTATTGCTCCACTATGACAGATCGGTTTGACATTCAGATTGATGAACTGCTTTCCAATCGTGTTCCGGACAGTACAGTTAGAGTCAACAACTGGGCTCTAAACAAATTTAATTCTTGGCTTCAGTCATCCAGATTTGCTCGTGACTTCAATGACTTTGACCAAATTCCTGTTCAACGACTCAACTACATTTTAGAGTGCTTTCTTGTTTCTGTTGGATTTGACTTGAAGATGAAGACTATGTATTCTGTATAAATCCCTTGTCGAAATCGCCGGAGATAATTATAATCCATAAACACTTCACGCTCAGGGCTAAATAAATGTAATCCCTCAGCTGGCGCTTCGGGATTACATATTAACACAAAACTCGTGCGCTGCGCGCACTCGTATGTGTTTATCAGATCATCCCGCTAGCGCGGGATGATCTGTTATATAAACCCTTTGCGTGGCGGGTTTATGTTATTGTAAACTAATCGGATGACAATTCATTATTTCTAAGGTACAAACTCCTAATAATAATAGTTAGTAAGTTTTTGATTACTAGAATACTGGAACCTCGCCAGATAAAAGTCTGGAAAATGTAATTCAAAATCCAACGTAACTTCGTGATTAGCCCAATAACTTATAAGTGTTGACGGTAAAAACAGTGTTCCACCTGTCGTTAACTGGAAGTACAATATCATAGTGTCATGAACTTATAGTCAATAACCTGGCATTTCCCAACGTCATTAAGAAAGTTTCTAGGCGTTTCCAATTTTCAGGGAAGAAAAACCAAAATCTTGTCTAAAAATTGTGTAGTATTTCTGAAAAAATAAGAGGCGTTGATAGTTTTTTTCAAGTCACATTTTCACAAGGGAATGGCGGTGCGTGAGTAGGTTTTCTTGGACCAAAAGTTTAAACTAGTAGCTAAAAAGCTAAAAGTTTAAACCGTAGAAATAAATTGAGTACATTAGCCTTCCTCATAGTCATATTATATGGGGACAACATATTTTCGGGCCGCATTTTCACAACATAATTGCTAAGAAGCAAAAGGAATTCTTTGGACCCAATGTTTAAACAATTCCGTAGTTTTACATTGAATACATTAGCATTCCCTCAAATATGGCACGAATCCCGGACATTTGACGGAATTCGTCTGGAAAACCTTCCTTGACAACACCACAGGAATTCGGTAATCTGTCGGTGGACACTCAACTTCAAAGCATTATTTAGGTACGGTTAAGGCATGCATAACAAACGAACGTTTAAGGGACACTTAAAGGCACGTTTTTAAGACTCACTTAATAAGAAACACTTAAGCCACCCACTGTGGGTCAGTGACCCACAGATTGCCGAATTCCCGTTTGCCGTGACCTTGACAAACGATTTAGTTACCCATTTTGCATTTCTTAAACGTGACGACTCCCGTTCGTTAAACTGTTCGTTTTATAACTTCGCATATTATCTTATTATGTAGGTTGATTCGATGACAACAGTTTAACGGTGCCTTCTGCTTACTAATGACTATAAATTATTAGTCTTCGAACAGAACCAATCAACTAATGCTATATATCTCACAATGGTATATCTCTCACGGTTTTCACGGAAAGTCATGTTAAACTTAATGTCGTGGTGTCAGTAAAATGGCAACAGATATATATCGTCTCGCTTTGTACATAGTAATATGGTGGGTTAAATTATGACCTTTTATAAATATATATCGTTTATAAAAATATTGAGCGTTAAACATATAGTGGCCTGTGGGATGGCCAACTCTTAACCGCCATAATATTAACTAGTACAGTATATAATATAAATTACCAGCGCGATTCTTCAGCAGCTCCGCGTAACTCTCGTTCTTAGACTTAACCTCCTCATAGTCAGGAGCATCAGAAGCTACAGCTGTTCCGCGGAGATCCATGAGGAATATGGTGGGGGTTTCTGTTAGCACGATCTTTACCTGGAGTTAATTGACTTGTTAACAAAGTTATTCAAACAAACATTTATTCTTTAACGCACTCCACGTGATTGGATGCGTTAAAGAGTGCCAGGATTTAATATTTATAAAATACGACACGAGTCGTCGAGTCACGACGAAACGTTAATGATACACCATATAAGTAGGTACTTGGGAGAAATTGAATAGTGTCATGTCATTCTTGTGGTTGTCGTTAAATATTGCGTTGGCTTCCTGCCAGGATTCAGGAGCACCAATGGGCTGCAAGACGCAAGTGTAGGTCACTTGACGCACGTGCACTTTCTGATTGACAGTATCGTATAGTTGAGATCGTTCTATTGGTTCGTTTCCTTGTCACGTGACGTGGCAGGGCGTGTAGAAAGGAATTCTGAATTCTCTAGTGCATGGTAGTGATCAACACAAGTTGGAACGTTGCCAACACGCAGTTAAACTACCGTTAACCAGACAATAAACAACGCACGGACGCACCGCCGACCGCCGTGAGAACTTTCTCGCGTCAGTTAGAACGTTGAGCGAGAGCAAATTTCGTGGTGAACCCGATATAATGCAGTAATGGAGTGCCGTATGTTATACTAATGGCGGACTGTTGCGGCCTGTTATGGCCAATACTTTTTGTTTATCATCAGAGTTACAGTATTTACCTGTCATCAAATTAGATGGAATCCAGGCACAATGCAGTGCAGTGATAGGCCTAACTGATGAAAAATGGAACGGGAACTTAGAAATATTTTTCTAGTTAGGACGTACTTACTATTTAGCCCTAAACTAATGAGGAACAGCATTTTGTAACTTTACAAACAGAATTTGTCATTCCATTGTCCACTAAAACCCGATCATACTTAGCTCTTGCAGAGTTACTGATACTCGCCACATTTGCCACTTTGTAAGAGATATGTGTCAGGGAGGGGATCTGTCTACATGTTATCTTAATTAAGTACGCTCGAGTTCATGTTGCTTTTTTACTTTATATAATGTCCGCTGATTCTCATTGAAGATTTAAGTTTAATAGTTCTAACTTCACCTCGTCCAACCTATTTCTTGCTATTCCTAACCTTAATTTAAATCTTATGTAACATATAAGATTTAAATAATCTTCACCTCGTCCAACCTATTTCTTGCTATTCCTAACCTTTATTTAAATCTTATGTAACATATAAATAAGTTCTTACCTGTTCTTCAAGTTGGTCCTCGTTTAGAATCTCTGTCACGTGTGTGTGCTCCCTTTGCACATGTGAGATACCTGTAACATCAAGTTACTTTTGAAGAGACTGCTTTATTATTTAACTGCATTTTAGGTTACGTAAATTTAATTAAACCACATTCCTATAATTATGTTGAATTTTCAAGTTTGAAATTTATAAGCGAGTGTTTCTGAGATCATGTAATTTTAGAGATGTAAATCTGAGGTATTCGAAGTTGCCTGTAAACATTTCAGAGCAGAACCCTGAGATTTAGAATTCGCCCAAATCTATATGGTAGCACTGACGATAGAGGTTCTAGAACTCATAAACCTAATACTTAAAATAGGCGTGAAGAATATTCTGAATAAAGGAATTTCAGCAACAAAAGGTGGTCTGGTACTAGCTAGTCATATTAGCACTTGATGATATGATAGTTTTTATTAGACAGAAAATTTGTTTGGTGAGTTATTTGGTTTTCTTCTTGCCAGTAACCAAGCCCATTGTAAGATTCCAGATCGAACACGTCATGTTGACTAGACCACGACCCGTTTGTCCAAACCTAAATCATATCGGGCCAGGCGAGGAAACGGGGATATTTTGGTGCATCATCTGGTACAATTATGTTGAATTTGAATAATTATGTGTTTGTGAGATCATGTAAATTCAGTGATGTAAATCGAATCTGAGGAATTCTAAGTTGCATGTTTAAATTTCAGAGAAGAACCTGGGAATTCACCCTAATCGATAACTGAAATACCGCACCATGTGGTGTCATTAATGACAGAACTTCTAGAATTCGTGAAAATAATAGGTGACGAGAATATTCTGAATAAAGGAATTTCAGGAATAAAGAGTGGTCTGGAATAGTGGAATTAGCTCTCCCAGTCATTTCACTATTAGCACTTCACAATATAATAGCTTTTGTGAAACAGATAATTTGTTTGGTGACTAATTTCGTTTTCGTTTTGTCAGCTCTCGTACCTAACTAACGCCTTCCATGATATCAGATCGAACACTATTTAATCCAGTAGGAAAGTACATGCTCGTGTAGGAGAACACTCGTGTAGGAGAACACTTACGTTACGCTACCTACCCTGCTACCCCTTCTAATGTTAGTCAAGCTTTTGCCATACATTATTCGAGCTGTCATGAGGGGTTAAATCCCAGTTTAGAAGTAGATATTTTAAGAATTGAGCCCAATACTGTCAGAAGAAAGATTTTCGAAGCGATGTTTATTATTAATCTGAACCCTACAATTAACAAGAGAGAAGAACTGGATACTATTAAACGTTTTATCATAGCTAGTACTGAAGAATTTTAGATATTTTAGTTTCATGCCCTTTTTATTGCATACAGTTTCAGTTTTCTAGCAGTAGTAATTTTTAATGTTTTTTCACATCTCGCTCACAATCAGTAACCACTCACTATAATTTCACTCACATTGTGTATGTACACCATCTCACATGTATTGTATCTTTTACCTTATCATCTGTTATCACTTACATCTTATCATCTGTTATCACTGTACATGTCATTCCATCACACGATCACAATCACGTACTTGCTGTTTAGACTTAGTGGATGTTTTAAGTTTATTGAATAGCAGATCGAGTAGTGGTGTATATATATAGATTTTGATTCTAATTTTAGTCGAGTATTTGAACAATTTGTTGTCGTTTAGCCATTTTTGATTAATAAATTTTATGAGACAGTTTTCTCACATATTTACCAATTTTGTCAGCATGAATAAGAAGTTGTTACTTTGAAACGTCGTTTATCCTAACAGTGCAATATCATTTGTCGCAAATCAGAATAATCAGAAACTATTTGGAAAACCCAAAAACTGACTATTTAATAAATGAGTCAGCCATAACCCAACATTAGTATTACATATAGAATTTGTCCAAATTTAAATCACATGGGTCGGGGGAGGGAACAGGAATATTTTAGAGACATGCTTTTGCCTTGTTTTATATCATCCCAGAAACCCCAGCTCCATCCTACAACACATGATGTAAACTGACCTCCGTAAGCGGTGGTGTCGTCCCCAATGTCATCGTCTCCCTGCATGTAGCTACTCCCACTCATCCCTATATCCATCCCCGTTCTGGAGAAGGGAGCTGCAAAACTCTGTCCTCCTATAAACACACTCTGACCAAACACTGACGCCTGAGGTGCAGAGGGAGGTAAGCAATTCAGAGAGATAGTCAAATGTTCTCGAAAAAATTGCCGTTCCATTTCCAATGATAAAAATATACATTATAGCATTAATTTTTATTCGATTGCGTCAGATCATAACCAATAACCATGTCTCATTTTCAATATATCGACACATCATGATGCTATGAATAAAGAACAATTCCTGTCAGATGATTAAGTAAAATACTACTCACGGTTTGAGTCCCATCTGCACTCTGATCACCTCCAACACTACCTTTACTGGGTCCCTTAGGTATGGCGTTCTCTACTTGTACCAGCGGGGCTGGAGTAACATCATTACCATCCTCGTCAAACACCTAGGGAGTGGAAATATAGGGAGGGGTAAAGAGGGGTAATGAGGGGTAAAGAGGAGTAATGAGGGGTAAGAGGCGGTTATCTTAAACGGAGCAAATGTTAGCGACATCAAAGCTATAAATTTCGAATGTTAATAACATGGAGAATTTTTACGTAACTGTCTTGTTCAAATAGATTACCAAGCTCACAGTTAATAAGTTTATGAGACAAACTTGTAAATCTCCCTTCAAATGACGGGCAGAATTAGTTAAATCCTAAAGTTGAACTAAGGAAGTTAAACTGAAGAATTTAAACTGAGGAATTTATAATGCTTTCGGGTGAAGTATTAAAACAGTGTTATTTCAGTTGTATGTATTATAGGTGGTTCTATACTTATAGGTACTCTTCTGAATTATGGCATTATGGAAAAATGTCACAGTTCTAGCTTCCCAACTGTAATTCTAATTGCTGAGCATTAAGCTAGCGAATGTATAAATAATATCCTCACGTTTTTATTTCTGTTGATCTTATATTTAATTCAATTATGCGTCTATTAATCTATTTGTCAAATTATGATGTCTCCATTCTCCAGCACCCTTCATGCGTGGGAACAATGATGCAGAGCCAATATAAGATATTATTATTACAAATCTCTCAAATAGAATTGAGAGAGACATTGTCCTGCATCCTAACCTTCACGCCGTCTTTAATCCTCCCGCAAATCTATCATCAAGCTCAAATTACTCCAAATTATTAATTCAGGTTCTCAGGTTCTGGACAGTACATTTCATCGTATTCCATTGATTTGATTATTCACATAACACGCACTCTTTCGATATTTCGAGAATACTTTCAGCTCACTTTTGTAACATTCTGATAATTCCTAGTGAAGTTTTGACGCATTCTGTTGAAGAAACCTTCTGAGGAAATTATAATTTTGAAGTACCGTTTGTGTAGGTTTGTTGATTGATTTGTCAAGTCCAGCACTGCGTCTAGAAGATACATTAGTTCTGGACGACATCACGCTCTTGCCTCCGATCATACTCCGACCAAAGTTACCTGGAATAGTTCTTGATTAACTGATTAGTTAATTACTTTAATTACATTTTATATTCTTATCACCGTCCCTTAAGTTATTAGATAACGTGCAAAGTTCATTATGTGAAGGGTTTTATCAGAATGTGATGTTTTGATGTTATTTTATACATGTACCGCACCTAAGTCCTTAACTTGAACCGTCAAAACTCAAAACCTATCCCATATAGTTGGCGTTAGTTGACGTAAAACCAGGTGCCAGTTGGAATTTTGAAATAAATGTCTATCAAAATATTGACGGGTATAAGGTGTACAAGTCTTTCATTTCCCTTATCAGACTTCTCTTTCAAAGAGCGAAGCCTAAAAAATTACAACAAAAAATATGAAAATATTCTCAAATATTAAGATATTCTGTAATATTTAAAAGTTTCTAAACACTCAAATAAGATTGCACCAACCTCCTGCACGACTCTTGTTGACCGTTGACCGTCCCATCTTGCTCTGATTCCCTACCGCTTTTAGGTTAGACATTATATCCTGATCTTATCTTGTGCCAGGGAGCAGCTATAACATCACCTACATATTTTATAATATTTTAACATATTCTATTTCGTCAGAAATATCAATAAGGTATTTTTACAGATTATAAGTCTCGTGAGTGGAGCATGAAAATTTAGTAGCTTATTTCATTCAGTCACATGTTTCAACGCTTGGATTCTCTGAGATGACATCAGTGCACGGCACCAGATCAATAATTCTACAAATTGTCAAAATTTGACAGTAGATTACGCACCAAATAGGGATGAGATAACTCGTGGTTATAATGACAATTTGATCGGTTAATTTATGAAAGGGTGCAAAAGTTATAATCTGACACGTAAGAAGAAGAAAGACGCACTTTAAGTGCACGTCAATTAAAATACCAGCGTATTCGTGATTTAACGTTTTAATGTCACACCTCACATTTCCCAGGCATCTTTGAAAACTTTATAAAGAAGTTGCAGTTTGCTATTGCTGTTACCGGGTTTTGATGTTTGTAACTGATTTGACTTGCAAAGTTTCCCATTGTTTTATCTCCATATTATCAATTGTATAACACATTAACAGTAGATCAGTGAAAGCCGGACGCTTTGAAAAAATTTTCTTGCATTTCTATAAAAATCATAGTACTATGAGTATGAGACAAAGCAAATATACACTTGGGTCCGGCAATTGCCGATAAAATCTTGAATAGCTAGCTAGCTTAGGGCGAGCAGCTGTCGCCTAAATATTTGTATACACAATTTCTTATTTACACGTAACTTTACATGTGACTTGACATGAAAGTGTCGCTCTATCAAAAAGCAAATTAGAAGTCTTTTAAAGGATTGGTCAGCTCCGTTTAGGCTTTTTCTTTCTTCCCTTTCTTCGGGAGAGCTTCTCGCTTGGAGATCTGAAACAAACATGTTATCAATGGTTATAGTCAAATTCAAATGTTTGATCAATATCTTTTTAAACTCTTGAATATTTACAGTTGGAGCCAATGGAGGGAAAACTTAATCAAAATTTTTGAAATTATATCTCGTAAATATGAAAAAAAGGTCAAAATATTCACCTTTAGAAACTTATGAAAAATAATTTTAGAGTATATAAGAGCCATAAAGAATTTAAAAGCGATATGAGTTTTAATAATTTATCCACTATTTAAAACTCGTTGAATGTCGAGATGTGAGTTGCTATATAAATATTAACCTGCAGTCAACGCTGCAGCACGCACAATCCTACTTATTAAACTTGACTTTCACACAGCGCATGCTTGTTACAGGCCGTTTTAACTTTTATGCATTAATATTAACATTATGCATATGCTAATGTTTACCAGGACAATTGGGATACAGTGTTGTGAAACAGTGGCAGGACCGTCCGAGTGTTCTTATATTTTAATATGTGGTACTTGGTTCCCCCTTTAGTCTGTCAACATCCAATTATAGCGTAAATACTTAAATAACATATCACACTTGACACTTACCAGATATTTACGGAGCACGCAGACCGTATGTATGTTTGGTTTGGGATGTTACCAAAATATTACGGGTTTTTTGCTGCTAATTTATCGACAAAAATGTTGCTGTAAACTTGTTACAAGTGTTAGCGGATTGTTGAAGCGGAATGTGATTTCTTCGAAAGAAGGAAGTGCAGACTCATTTGTTAAACCTAGAATATTCCTAATTCTTACAGCTTCGTTGAAGTTTGTTTGCAATAAACTACAGATTCAGGATCTTGTTTATAATATTAATAAACTGCTGATTCAGCATATTGTTGTAAACAAGGAACGCTCTTAGGTAGGTGCTTCGTCTCTGGCACGTGCCCAATTTCCCAGTTTAGTTAATATCAATAGATATCAATAGTTAATATCAATAATTAAATAAACCGTGATTCGGTTCCATTGAATAGAGATAATATCACGAGAACAGCTAAACTTGGTAAAGCCCCGCTAGTGAATTGCAGTAACTGTGTACTTGCTACTACTAAGTACTTATTTAAAGTAAAGTAAGTACTTGCAGCAGTCACTGAGTAAACTTGATGATATCGAGGGTGCCTACGCGGTTTTGTCAGGATTCCCGTTTTGACCGTGTACCACCAACTGTTATTGTAGAAAGCAGATTGAGTTTTAATATGAAGATGTGAGACAGCCGGACAGCGTCATGATATTGATATATTATGACGTCCCGATTTTGTGATTTTCTTCAACGGCTTCAGTATCTTTGAGTTTAAACGACAGTTTATCCATTGTACGTGACAGGAAAACAAGTAATTCAGGGACTTCAGAAAAACTTCAAGGCCAGGGCCTTATTTCATTGATCACTTAAAGGAGCCATAGACCTTCATCACCTATAAAAATTATGCAGTCTAATTGCCATTTCATGTGAATCATGGATACGAACTAAAATAACCTTCACACAGTCACTAGCATAGCCTGGTACTATATTGAATCTAAATTTGAACTTGTGGGAATATTTAAAAGCATAGGCTTCTATCAACTATGAACTTCCTTGGATATTTGAATTTGTCAATCAAGCTAGCCTGGCGGCTGCAATCTAATCAGTTAGTCGACCATGTCCTCAAACTATGTGCCTTTTTATGCTCTCAAACCGCCTTTTTTCAGCTAGATTAATGAGATCCAATCTCGTCTACACCAACCATTACTGCAGTTAGATAAAATAAACAGGGCTTCTGAAAGGCACCCAGGCACAATTATAATCAGGTAGCAAATGTGCAGTAAGTTAACCAGGTTGACGTGTTTCAAATCTGTAGACATATCATTTCAACACATTTCAGTACAAGTTTTATCTGAAGCTTTAAAAGGAGACGAAGTTTTAGCGGATAAGTAGCTCATAATTCCCGCACCCTGTCGCACTGTCGCAGTTAAACTCTCAGAGATACTGTTTAAAGTTGGTACAACAGCGGTGAGCTCATTTTTCACTGAGCTCATAAGAATTATACCAACTTTTATAAGCGTTTAGTTCTAGTTTTAAGCCTCCGCTTTCGTTTTGTTTTCATGCATTATACTCTTGCTGAGAATTTCCTTCGCAACATCGATAAATAAATGCATTTTCTCCTCCTCTTATGTATGACATGTACTTACTACTTATTTTGCAATCATACTTGTAAAGATTATGATCATAACTTTGAGTTTGTCTAGGAGATGCATTAGACAACACACGTGAACTCTATTTGACTAATTGAGTAATTGTCACTCAATATTATTCTAAGGGTAAGTCTAACTTGTATTTCCTGACGAATATTTCAGAATAGTCCACTATGTCTATAATGCTATGACAAATGCACATAACTCTAACTTTACCACGCATCCTTACCTAGGTATATATGCTCCAGTTAAAATATGCTATTCTGATCATCGATATAAATTACAATCCAATTCTAACCTCTCTCAAGGACCAGGCCCCAGACAAAATTAAGTGTTTAGTGCTATATTATAAGAGGTGATTTGCTTAATTTGCCTCCGAAAGTCCTTGTAAACCGGAGGTTACCAACATGGCCATGGGAATCAAAGTGTCGTTATTTCCACGAATACAAGTCGTTTCAACTTCGTTTTAATTTCCAAGAAATAGAGGTGTGCCCGGAAACGTCTATTTTTTTCCGGACCTACTGATCCTGTTAAACTTAAAATTCTATCGCCGACGGCTCTTCTGAGGAACGCATGCGCATATTGTACTGATTCAGGAACTGTTAATTCAAGTTAACTTCTCAGAACTGTCACACAAAAAGGTCGACATGCGTGTTTGTTCAGGCACTGGAAGTCTTAGAGTTTTATTAAACATCCTGGGCCCTGGCCTGATGGTGACAAGTCCATCTACACGTGCAGTTCATAATTATAATTAGCAACTTGCGCACTTTTCCTCCAAAGTCTCAGCAGCTTTCACGTCAGTTTTCAGTGAATTTGATGCTCTCATTAACTCAAAGTATAACCTATAAAGTATATAAACGTATTGGAAGACTTATAGTTATATATCCCTTGACGGACTCTGGATTCTGGAGTTCACATGACTTGCTTTTCACAGCTTTAGAATTCCTACCTATGACCTCAGAAAGGCGTAGGTTTATATCGAATGGCTCGTACGGAAAAATGTAAGAATTCTACAAGAGACCATTTTTGGGTCATAAAGCAAATTCCAGCTTTTATTGATAAATATTAAATACTTTAAACAGCCCGGTATAATACTTTAACCGCTTCTTTAACAATGCATTGCTTCATGATTTAATCTTTTTGAATACTGCTGAGTCTAGTTGGAAGAGGCGTTCAAATATGCAGAACTTTAAATGTTTATTATATGACCTTGATACTTGATATATAATAAGGCCGATTATTGATTAAGAACACTTTAATCCGAGTGCGTTACTTCAACTTGAAAGCTTGCATAAATATATCTAATATTCGCTCAAGCAAGCAGATGAGATTTCTGACGAACAGTATCGTCAATCATGTCAAAGGCCTTATAAGTTAATAATCTAGCAACTCCGTCTATAGTTATTGCATTTGCAATCATCCACGTCGAGTTCTATTTTTAAATATTATATGCATCAATATGTAATAGTAAAACTTGTAATAGCTTATTGTGAATGTTCATTGGCTTATTATGTGTTGAGTTTCGTTTCATGCTTACGGCTGTTCGAACTTCGAACCGGCTAAAAAAGGCTGGCTTGTACATGATATGTAGTTTTTGCGAGGCCTAAGAATTTCACTTACTTCAATGGAATGAAAGTTATTTGTAGAATGTAGATCAGTGATCATAAAATCGGTTCGCATTGTTGAAGAACTCTTAAAGTTATATAACTATCCTTCGATATCAGACAGCTCAGTAGGTACTATAAGGTGGGAATCCGAATATTTGTTGATAGACTACGTGGGCCAGATTTAACTGTACAACATGACTAGACTGTGACTCCCAACATTGTAATCTTCTGCTTATTTATCACTTACAATAGACTATAATGAGAGCCACAGTCTGCTATCGACAAAAAGTTTATTCTGGCCCGCCCTGTTCTTTGTTAAGTTAAACCATCTTTTACGTATGTGTCGCACGGTTTAGGCTTCATCCATCACTTCATAGTTATGTAATCGATATTAGTTCAACAGTGCTCTATTTATTCTCTAGTGGCTCTAAAACTCTAAAACTCTAAAATTCCAAAACTCTAAGCTCACCCCCTTGATGATCTTCTTCTTGAGTTCAGCCTGAGTAAGCGGTCTGATCTCCTCCTCGTCAACGGAGTCGCCATCACTCTCGTAGTCATCTGCTGTTGCTTTGGTTGTGTGTTGAGAGCTTGTTATTCTGAGGAATATGAATTCACTGGAATTGTTATGGGACACTGGGCAGTGTTAAATATAACCAAGAAACTCTATAATTTTCGGAACTGTTGAAATTGTTTTCATTTGGCCGTGACTACTGACCGCGTACTAATAAAAGTATTAATTGCGGAGTAAATTCACATGTTAAAGGGAGGTTTGGAATTTTATTAAACGCGTGAGAAATATTATTGGATAAAAGAAATTAATGACATAAATTTCTCATAGAAATATTTTAGGAATCGGCGCTTTGTTTTGATCGTTGACCTTGATGTTTACCGCTTAAGAAAAATATATCGACGTTAGATGTCAGAAACTGTCCATCAGTACAGCTGACCGTAACAGTTGAACAGAGCGACAAATTAGATATTTCTTAGCTTTAATCCTTCCTGATAATAGATAAAATCATAATTTCAAACACAAGGAAATATTTACAAACCCAGTGGTAGGAGGTGCCACAGTGATGGTATTGACTTGAGGTTGAGGTCCCTGTCCCAGAAGAGAAGGTGGCTGAGGTACAACTGCTCCCTCTTGCTTCTCAGCTTCTCGAGCTTGTACAAAGGCAAATAGTTGCAGGAGTTCATTTGTCCTCTGTTCCACAATACCCAGATACTGAGAGAGTAGGAGGTTTATACTAGTTTTAGACTTTAGTGTAGTATGTTGCTTTTTACAATGTATAATGTACATTTGCATACTTTGTTAAAGGCCATTCAAATTTTCAGATCAATTTGGAACACATTAGATTGGGTTGGGAAGTGTTAGTTAGCTCCACTAAAATCAGACGATTGTCACATTTACAGTGATTTGGGGAGACAACCAACGGATGCGCTTAGCGCAATTATTATGGTTAAAAGATGAGTTCAAAAGGGAATACCGTGAAAATCATCACACCTCACAGAAGAGAAAATAATGCCAGACTAGATATGATCCCCGGGAAGAAATCTAATATAAAACTAATTAAGTAATTACACAAACCTGCATCATGTTAGTTTCGGTTACCCCAGCTTCACCCAGCATCTCGATTATAGGTGATCTGTCGCAGTTGATCTTGTTGAAGAGACTGTCAATACCTGGACATGATTTATAGTTAGTTTCTTTTTTGCTATTCCAAATCTTCTGCATTTATCATTGAATTTTTGTTCCTTATCCATCTTCCGCTAATATAAGAAAAATTAGAACGTATGTCAGTAAATTTCGGTAATAAAAACTAATAAACGGACCGCTAAAGGTTCAATGATAGCCGTGACCTCAAGAGTCAAGGTCTAAGTTTAACTTTCTATCACACCCACCGGCCAACAGTCTACAATACCTGATTCCTCGTCACATATTCAATCATCCAATAGTATTTTAATCAATATTGGAGGACATTTAAACAGCGTGCATTAGACTATTATATAACTAACTTATAGTAAGTTGGCAAGGACAGTACGTCCAGTGATGATAACTTGACAAGTATAGACATGTATTAGTTGGCATGCGCCATGCATTCCCATGGTAAAACCCATTGGTAATATCCGTGTGTGATCATTAGTTCAGGTACCAGATATATATACTACGGGTACCAGGTATATACTACGACAGCCGTCAGATTTGATTAGAAAATTTAATCAATAAATTAAAAAACAGGACAATCAACAATGTTGCAAGTATCCCAAGAATGCTCAATGACCTTTTTATTTTACCGTTTTCAATGGCGGATCCGAATCGTATCTTTGTAATTTTTATCAATCACATAATCAAAAGAATGCGTCTGCAGTAATACCTAAATAGAAATATTCCCCCTGAAACCAACAAGGTACCTGATTTGAGTTGGTCCAGGGTCTTCATGGTCCCGTCGTACTTCAGATCGTAAGCTCCCTTCAGAGTATTGGTGGTCTCCAATTTCTCCTCTAGTTCGCCCAGTATCTTCTTTCGCTCGTTCTCAAGGTCCACAGACTCCATCTTGAACTTGCTAATGTCGTCTTTGACCTGTTGAGAAGAGGGTTGTATAATATTTGTGATTTTTAGACAAATTAAATAATTGATTGACTTCCTGATGTAATGATTTTGTATGAATTCAGTCAAATTTTCCTGAATAAATTCTTTTTCGGACAATTAGCGACCTTCTCACGCAAGATAAGATAAACATAGGGCCGGTTCATCAGTCTAGTAACATGGGCAGATCAGCGATCTGCCTAGTCGTCTGATGCTAATCCGTACATAACTGTCTTCGATTATTCTCACAATTTCTTGGTATAAAGGTTGGTTACATCACGTAGTAAACAAGTTACTAACAGTCGCGTTATTTTGTTGTTAAGTAAAGCCGTATGATTGAGGTGCCTAGTGTTCTGCAGTATCACGTTATATATAATGATAATAATAATAAACTATATATATATATAGTTTAAACAGTTTGTTAGATGTTAAAGTTGGTGACTCTGGGTGTGATCGTGTGAATTTATTGTTGACTGTTGAGCAGTGTGTTTTCATTTTGGTATAAATGTAGCGAGATTAGTTGTAGTTGTATGTGGTAGTGCTACGTTTTGCAAATTTTCGTTTTGTTACTTACTTTCAACTTTACCAATTTGTGTTATAAAGTAAAATGTGCAGTCAGTGGCCCAAAAATAATCATGGGAAATTTGCAAAATTTATTGACAATTCTGAGAACGAAACCCAAATTTGGTTAAATATTTCGTAATTTTAAAAGAAAATGTTCATGGTATTACATGAAACACGAGTATTATGATATTTAAGCATATTATAAAATTTACGGATATTTTAAAGTGTGGAGACAAATAATTTATTTTCTGTCATGGGTTATATTGGAGAAAATCAAATTTTCGTTGGTAATTAAAATGAAAGGTGACAACAGATTCATCTAAAAATTAAGTCGAATTTGATCCGAAAGAAGAAAGGATCCGGGAACCCAGAAAAAAACTCTTTGGCTTTGAGAATTTGAAAGGTCTAGTCATTATAATTTATCATAATTGAAAGTTCATTCCCGTTCATTTCCTCGTATCGCGTATTTTGGTTACCTAGAAAAGTTTTATATGACATGAGTGCCGGCCCTATATTAGTGAATATTTGTAATTGTCTTATCTTTGTAAGATAGGAAAGAGTATCCTTGTGTTGCGCCAGACCTTCACCCCTCGCACTACCTTACTACTTTGTGCTGTATATTTACCGCTTTGTAATCGATTCTTTGGAATTAATTTTCCTCGAACAATATTAATAATCAGAGAAGCATAGATCGGAACCAAATAATGTCCAGTACATCTAAAAGAACAATATTTAGTAACAGTTACGACAGAGACATCGAGCCTTAGATAAAAAAATTATTTCACATCCCCCAATTTGATTTCGGTTTTGTCCCCAGACCCTAGAGTCCATATATTTCCAGACAAAGATTTCCATGAAATAACTGTGTTTTAAATGCCCGTCATATTTTATAGACGACAGTATGATTTGCGTATATTTTTATTTTATCGCTAAAATTGCTGTTATGATTTTGAATTTCTTAAAGTTGTGTCATATCTAAATGTGTGAATCTTGATTTTTCCGATATTTGCCCACGCACAAACTTATAATTAAATTTAAGAACTTCAATGATACGTCGCGTCGTTCATTAATGAATAAATGAATATGATGTACATAACGAGAACGCCAATCCTTGGTGGCATTATTGGTAATCAATTATCACACCGCTGCATTTTAATGCAACACGACATTTTGGAATTCTTGCAAATAATCGATCAAATTATCGCTTAGAAAAATGCCCCGTACATGCTATGACTTGATCCAGATGACCAAGGTTACGATTTCCTCTAGCTTAACAGATATTAAGATATTTTGTCGTGCTAGAAGACTGGACACCAGAATAACACATCCCCTTCACACTGTCGCGCTTATCTCCCTAAATACTTTAAACCTGGAACAAATTCGACATGACCTCTGTTGCCGGTCTGGCTTTATTAGAACTTGCTGACAAGTGACAAGGCCAGGGATGGCTTGAGATTTGTAATACTCATAATTAGGATCGTTGACATGCGTTCTGGGATATGGCAGGTTGAACAAGCAGAGTGGTGAAAGCTCGCGAGTTGTCTGCGTTATATGTACATTAACGTATCCCTGCAGCTTCAGAAAGTAAGGGTGGGTATTGTTTCCTGGATACTTCGGTGCATTCAGTACTTTAAAACGGATCTCAAATACTACAGAGCCATTTAATTGTTAGTACTGATAAGATGCGGCCAGAAAGCGAGACGGTTTGTGTGAGTCTCGTCTGATAACATCACTTCCTGTTGAGTAGCAGTAACTTGATAATAACTGAGCACTGTCCGAAGAGTATAGCTTTATAAAGTAATTTCTCGTTCATACATTTTTGAGGGATACGACTGAAATATTTTAAGAAGATTCCGTGTTGAAAGAAGTCTTATGCGTCAGTCCGAGTTAAATCCATATTCGGAAAGCAAAAGTTGTAAGGTCGCATATAAAAATGGACTTTAAATTGGGACAATTTCTGAAGAAGAAGGTTGGTCATAAGTCATAACCCTTCTAGGACCTAGGTACGACAGACTAGAAGGTACGACCCATTTCAGTGAATCTACGCTATTTTAAAGTTTAACTTACAGTGTCAGTTTAAAAAGTCATATGTACGCCTTTTGACTTAGAGTACTTTAAAATCCTGATGTGCAGGCTTTATGACGCCTTATATAATATTCTTTATTTGATATGACCTTATATTAACTAATTCATTAAGTTGTTCATTTAGTGAGTAATAGTTATACAATCAAGTAAAATTATACATTCCTGCTTTGCCTTTAACAGTTATTTTTATCAGGCTATCCGATAAAACCTGTGAAACCGTTGAAACCCAAGAATTTCTGCCACTAATTTGACACAACTGATGATTTCAACCTGCAAAGTTTACCACATTTTTAACGTTCCAACAATTTTCACGCCCTTGTATGCGTCATATATCCCGGTAAAACCATAACACTGCTCACAATTAATCGTGATCTCCAAAAATGTCACGTGAGAGCCTCCTTCAAATACCTTAGCTTACTTCCGGAACTAAGGAAGAATGCCTCAGTACTTGATGTCATGTTTTATAAAGAAGCATATCTCAGTTCATCATTGAATTATGGGTATTTTATTGATAAGCAGATAAGAAATCTGCTGGAACTGAATTACAATGACAGGCGTGCGCGCCGCCCAGCGACGTCATCATAACACGTGACACATTCCAAGGACCAAGTGCTGGTAGGATGACGTTAATGTCAATATTAAAGTATTAAGGGCAGGGGAGTTATATTGCATCATTCACTCATTGAGGTGACTGTGAGACTTACTTCAATTACTTTACTAAATGCCACATCACGAACGTTCGAACTTGCATTTCTCTCTGCTGCTTTGTGCTCAAATTGCTCGATATCTTGTGTTGTTGTTTGATATCAGATTTAATTTGTTTGATATTTCTTTGCACACATATAAATGTAAGATATGAGTACAATATTGCTAAAACAGTACATTGCCTCATTATCAAAATCATCAACGCCTAACAAATAATCTCCCTTTAAACAGTAGAAGGTATTAGACGATGTCAAGATTACGAACATCCGTTCTCCTCCTTGCCCTCCTCCTCGCCCTAACCCACGGTCAGATTAAGGTGGATCAAGATGAATACAACTGCTCACATGGGGATTTGAAATATCTCTGTCTTAACTACGATGTATGCGCCGAATATGGACTTATTACCGAGGACGCCCGACAAAATATGTGCGGAGGTCTCCTTGACCCGAACAGTGTGGGGGATGAAAGTCTTATACTGTCTGAAAGCACTAAAACCCCACCCATAGGCGGTGTTACTTCATCCAGGCCAGATGTTTTATCTAAATCTCGTGATAATGATGGATTAACCACATCGAGGGCTGGCAATGAAATAACGACTTCACAAGAGGATGATGATTACAGCTATACCACCGGGCGATCATCAGTGACGTTCCCTGAATCTACTACTGACAACGGAGTTCAGACTGGAAGCACGAGCAGCAGGCACAGTGGCATTGTCACAACCCCTTTCTTCAAGTATGTCACCGACAACACTGACTATCTCAGTGAGATTCTCACGACCGATAACAGGATTCTGACTCAGGAAACCTCTACCAACCCCCACACTCGGGATGTTCAGACCATCACAGCGCGACACACCCGAGACACATACATCGTGACTGGTACATCTGATAACTCTTATACGGAGAAGGATGATTCTTATACCACTGGAACAAAGGCAGATAATTCCTTTACAACTGTGACAAAGCCAGAGGATGGTACTGATCCTAGAGTTACTGGCTTGGGAACTGACGATATCTTCACGACCGCCACAACGGCTGCTTTCTCTGTATGTTTTGGGATAATGGGCATTTAAAGAGTTTAATTCGTTCGGGAGTTATTTCGCTAGTTTTTATAATTGAACTATTGTTTTATGATTTTGGTTCCTTTAATTTTCTATCGCTGAAATAAACTGGTTGAGGGATTCAGTTGAATATTTAAGTTACAAATCTTTTCGATATATTGGAATTCATCCTGCACTACGTGCAAGATTTTTTTCGCCTATTAAAATCTTTTTTTAACAAAATGAGTACGTTAACACCACTCTTATTTCAGACTGAAGCAGGGACAGACGCGCCAATTGTTAATGGGGTAGGTCGGTCCGTCTGTTCGTTTTTATAACTTGTTTGTTTTAAAACCTGCGTAAACTAATCAGCTCAGTTGGTTAAGTAAAAAATAATCACACTTTCCATCTCAAGTCACATCTTTTTTGAATATTCGGTAAATTAAGAACTGACACCATGAAAAAGTGCAAGGACATGTAAAATAGTTTCGAAATCAAATTAAACTCGATAATTCTCCGACTTTAATACAGTTCCCTAACTTAAATCGTTAAGATTCTTTTTAGACTTTTAGATTTTTTTGAAATAATGTTGACGACGCCACGACATTATGACATTAGTAGTTAGTGGCCACCTTCTCTACGAATAAATTAGGAGATGAGAGCAATGATGGCAACTCACAGCTAGCCAGTTGCTGAAATAATCCATTGCAAGGATCAGTAAGCGTTTTACCTTGGGAAAATCAACAAATCAAAAGTTCTTTTATTCTCTTAGTGCTCCCTCATTATATGACGTGAAAAGTTTAGGACTTTATCTCACAGTTCGTACGTATATTGATTTTTGTTTTGAAAACTAAAAAGGCTCTGTGTTGGTCAGCGTTTTTGAATTAAGTGCTTCTTTGAATTTTGATGGACATTTAAAGTTGACTTTAGCCTTTAATACGCCGGTCCCTGAGAATTTCATGAAGGCGAGGATATTTCGCACTTTGCTTTGCTGTCACTTTAGCGTGCAACTTGGAGGGGTCCTATTTTAGAAGCTGATCTCTTTTCTAAAAAAGTAGGATCATTTACTAATTCAAACGTTCAAATCTTAGGACTTCGCCGCAATCATGCGCATGATATATGATTATTATATGCAGTTTTATTATTTACCCATTACTTGCGAATCGTGGATGGATTTGACTGTCATCATCTTATAATATAATATAATAATAATAATAATAATATTAATATATCAATTATAAGAATTAAGTTTGTCACGTTTTAGTTTACCCACGCATAAGGACCAAGGATCATTCATTTATTTCTTCCTTTCTAGTCAAAAGCAAGTTACCGTATCAAATGTTACAAATTAATGTACATAATGTATTGTTAGTATTATTCTCAATTCTCATATTCACAGACGTTAAATCTAATTTCAAACAAAGATCTGGGTATTATGCGATGCCTATCGTACTTTAGGCCAATCCTCCACCGATAATCCAAGCCTGGCCTGTGAATTAGTCTTCATGATAGTTGTGCTGTAAAAGTGTAAATTGTAGTATAGCAATATCCCTCTGACGGTCGCGACATGTCGCATAATGATCTTTATAGTTTATGGAATCAGATATTAATGACGAATTATTACTACAAATCCTGCCAAGAACTTAATTATCCATCAGTGAAAAAATACAGAAACGAAATTTAGAGACTAGAATTCTGATTTTTTTAAACACTGCAGCCTAGACTCAGTATCAGAATAATTATGACAATCCGCAATAAAATTTAGGGTGCAGAGCATTTCTAGCTGCAGTCTGCACCGTTCTTCAGAAAGCGAAGCAGAGAAACAGACAAAAATGTGTCCTGTTTCTCACGCGTGACACAATCCGTCACAACGCGACGTTATCATTAGAACTAAGACCACTATTCGATCAGTGGCTACGAGCGGTTTGTTTTTAAAGGCCTGCGCATAATTTTACTGTTTCATCAGCGATGAATCCCCGGGATGTTCTGTACTTCTTCGTCCTTGTCTTTTGTCTTAGCGATGGCAGAAAAAATAATAGAAGAGTAAGTTCTTAACTTTGTTTTAAAACTTTTCGAATGAAGCCCTTCTTTTAGTATTAGTATCGTAGGTATTGATCATTGTAAAGACGTTCATTGTCAATAACAGCAATCAACAGAAAAAAAATAAATTTAAAGAAATTGTATGATTTGTTGTAAAATCTTGACATCATGTCAATGTGACACATAAAAACATGCAGTAATGATAATAAAGCTGCTCAAATTTTAATATTCAGGTTGCGTTGTAAACATTCAGATTACTAACTGTTCATCTATTTGACTTGCTATGATTAAATGAACATTAAATGAACATTTATATTTGTCAATATATGTCCTGCAGCACCTCGCCCGCGAAAAGGTTTCCACCAAAATTACAATAGAAGTACAGTAAAAGCTCAAAATTTAGAAGACAGCATTTTACCGCCGTGTAATAGCTATGATTTTAGGCTATTTTACCCAATTTTTGAGATCATTTCAGTGCTTCGTGGTAAGATATTGTACAGTCCTCCAAAGTTTTGTATTTGTCATTATAGTTTACAGTATAACATGTAAAAGAGTATAAGCATTTCAATAAACAAAAATGTAGATATCATCAAAGACATTAGAGGTGTCGAAAGCTTAATTACGCATGCATTTTACGCGATTCAAATCGTCCAGGAAGTCCCAAAATTCGTGTCAGAGTTTTTGCTTTTGTAATTTTCATCGACGAAGGCAAGGGTAGTTTAGATCACACTAGATTGGGTAGATTGGTGTTGGCATTACAGAATAAAGTTAAATGATGTAATAATAATATTTCATCTTCAGCAGAAAATGACCAGAATAAATAAGAATTAGATAAATTAGATAGTATAATAGAGAATAAATTCGTTGCTGCGGTGTCTGTAATGACCTTCAGATATTATTCTGATATTAAGGGGCTTGTCCGGGAAATCTGAACATCTCATTAAATAATAATATATATATATTTCATTGGCTGGACTTCTACACAATAAAAGAAAGCGGTTGTGATTAGATCTTCGTAAGTCTTTGCATCATTTATTTACATCAATTCTCAAATTATTTGTTATATTATAGTAGTGTTGAAAGTATTAACATTATATATATATTATTAAGCAGTATTTCACACCACATTTTGAAGGAGTTTAATCTTATATCATCAGTCATCATGGATCTCGACAGACAGCTCTCGAGTTTCAACAGACAAAGTGAAATAAGGCACATGACTGGTGAAAACTAAATGAAATAATCGACGTTTCGGGCTTCGCACTTTCACTTCGCCCGTCCCTGCTGAACACTATAATCTCATCATCATAATTACCATAATATCGAGATTATGCTAGTATCATGTGCAAATAAACAGATTTTTCCCTCACTTTATTCCAATATATATATATTGTGCGAAGCTGTGTTCCCTTCACTGTATTTCCTTCACTTTCCTTCAATTCTCGCGACGACAGGTAATTCACTTTAAATCGGCACTCACAACTACAGCAAACGTCACGGACGAAGATCACTGACGCATATACCGTTAATGCACATAAAGTGTCCCAAAAAGATCCAAATTCAACCGATTTATGCCGACAGCTAATCTGTTTTGGGCAGGGTATTTTGCAAGTCATGTGCTATGGTGTTCCACAGTGTCTATTTTGTACGTTACATGCAACTTGGTTAAGCTTCACACTTCCTTGGGGGGGGGGGGGGGGGGATTAGGGAGTCTACCTTAGTTAAATAGACTCTTGGACGGCATATCTACAGGTAATGATCTAGCTACTGGCATCAAGTTGTTTTGGAGAAGCAGGTGTCTAGTACTTCTTAAAAAATTAGACCTTCACAGTTCACAGGTAGTCTGATTATAAACACCCAGAATCAGGGTACCCAGCCAATATTAGTAGACTACATTGAATACCATCTGAGTCTTACACTATTTAGCTTTACATTACTGCCGGCTACAATAAACATCGTGATTATGTGAAAATTTTAATGTATTGAGATTTGAGTCTGAAAAGTCTCAATATCCTGTATATGAATATTATGTACGTGACATAATATATGAATATTAGGTGACATTCGACTGTTTTGCGAAACACCCTGTTTCTCTCTCTCTGAAGAGATTGACATTCCTGCAGAGGAAGAGGACAGATCAAATTAAGAGTGTGGCACATCATGACCACTTCACTTTCTACCACCCCACTGCACCAATAATCATCACAGACCTGTTTTACTAGCTCAATATGGCTTCACAACAGCTGTCTGTATATTTTCCAGACTTGGTCAGACACAGATTCAAACTTGTTTGAGAACACCGCACTCTAAATTATCTCACCGGTTTAGATTTGTTAAGTCGAGTCGTTGTGAAAATTAGAAATCAATTGTTTTATTAGATTGGGACGGGTAATTGGTAATCATGGGCTGTTAGTTGTTTAAAGTTTACTCGTGCGTGACTGAACGACGTCCGCAGTAATTTCACAAAATCTTGGGGAGGAAGAAGTTAATTCTTTTTATCAGTTCAGAGATTATTTCATATAATTTTTTGAGTTGTCAGACTGTCAAGGAAATTTAATAAGGTAATTTTAAAACGGCCAAATAATCGATCAATTCCCGCCGAGTCGTTAGTTGTTTTAAGTTTACTATAGCGAGTGACTAAATGACTTGCGCAGTAATTCTTAGAAAATCTTGGGGAGGAAGAAGTTAATTCTTTTTATCAGTTCAGAGATTATTCTGCATAATATTGTGATCAGTTGTCAGTCTGTCAAAGAAATTTAATAAGGCCATTTTTAAGTTCAGATAATATATAAATTCCCGCCAGTTTTTGACAAATTTAGAGATTCAAGGTCGACAAATTTTAAGAACTAACAAATCAAAAATGGATCCTGATGCAATGGTACACATCAATCACAATGACGATTTAAGCCTTTGAATATTTTCAGTCTTAACATTTTGCAGTCCCATGAGATTAAATTGTTTCGCTATAATAACAAAATCTTCAGAAACCTCCAATAATCTCGGGGCCCCCTGTGAACATCACAGTGCCACCAGGCGGCACCGCCAGATTTGACTGCACAGCTATGGCGGCTACCACACCCCAAATCACCATCACCAAGCAGGACCAGACTACCATTCCTGACCTTGATGTGAGTTAATCTTTATACACTACCGTTATCTTTCTAGATTATCTATAATCTATATCCTGTATCACTGACTAATACAATCTTAACTTTATCTTTGAGTTTGAGAGACAAGTCAAAAACATTATCCTAATAATTGACCATCCTTTCTTTACTCTGAGACTTAAATTATTAAAAACTGTCACCAGTTTAAACCCGCCCACTCCGCAGAACTTCGTAGACGCCACAGGAAACGGTTTCAGTCAGACCACAATAAACTCCATCACGATCAACAATGTGGACTACCCGAACGAGGGTTGGTACACGTGTCAAGCAGTCAATAAGTACGGTTATGTCAGACATGATGCTTACCTCCATGTTGAGGATCTTTGTATTGGGTCCACGTGCACGGGTGAAAAGGTTAGTGGTGATTATTGTCACCGTGTGACTTAGTTGGTGTTATAGTCATCATCAACACCATGTGACACCATGTGGTGATCGTATAATATTCCTTAGATCATACAACTTTTCTTAAATTCACATAAACATCACCGTGTGTTTTATATTAAGATGTAAACCCCTTACTAAACCCATCTTACTAAACTAACATCCTCCTTTCCCCAGACTTGCAAAGGAAACTACGATACAGGCGTAGGATACACGTGTGAGTGTCCCAAATACTGTGGGTACGATGAGCTCTTTAAACAGGACTACGTGTGCTCCAACTACTGTGAAGAGTGGTACAACGAGTGCCAGGTGAGCGTCAAGATAGATAAGATAGATAAGATAGCACTACAGTATTATAGGAGGAACTGCCAGTATATCTTGTCCGTTTATTTTGAGCGGCATTTTAAAAACTATATCAGTCCCAAAATAGAAACCACGACACGTTATACCACCAGGATATTTTGACACCAAGACAATGGTAGCAATATAAATTCACAATCTTACGGAAATAAACTGTTCTATCCCAAAATTTAACACATTTTACCATGTTCCTTAAACCCCCGTTTTTCCCCAGATGAAAACAGATGCATGTCAGAACGATAAGTTCGCTATCTCAATAATGAACAGTGGACGTTGTGGAAGGATAGAGGCTCCTGAGATCCAGGAAGGTGAAGAGGAGTACGGAGTTAAAGAGCTGATACCTGGAGAGGAGCTGGTAATGTCCTGTCATGCTACTGGGTTCCCTGAACCAGACAGTAAGTCCGTTAGAGAGCTGTGTTAATGAAGATAAAGGAATTTGGACAGTAGTTAAACAAGCCACGCAGAATCATTTTACCGTATGAAATATGTAATAACAACACAGTAAGTTTGGGAAGGCATAAAAAGTACTATTATAACGGATAACCAGCTCTTCACTAACCACCTAACCACCTTCCATCAGTTAAATGGTACAGAGGGACTACCATGGTTGGAGAGGGTAACGATTTTTCACTGACAGTAAACGAGGCAGATACTGGAGAGTACGTCTGTGAAGCTGTTAACTGTATGAATGCCAAAGTCAAGTAAGTTCTAGATCTTTTACCTTTTCTACTTGTTTTATCTTTATTATCTTTGATCTCTTTCGTCACTTTATTCAACACCCGTTGTCATGTATTTATACACAGTGATCATACAAAGTTAGATTTGTTAACGGTATTGCGTTTCAGCAAGAGACTGGCGATGGTGTTTGTTAACGAGATAACGACCCCACCAGCCGCCACCACACCTACAGAATATACTACCCCCACAGCAGAAATGGATTTGGCTAATAACGAATTACCTGATCCTGCTAGGTCGACTTGTGCCGTGAGTTTCTACTACATATTTTAAAATTCTATTCCGAAATCAGCTCATTATAATTCAATTTCAGTTCAAATTAACGCTCAGATCAATGAGAAAACTATCCTGTTCAATCATTGACTGGTATTAAAGCATCATAATTAGAAACTGCTTTGTATATTAACAACCAATCAACAACTGCTCAGTCCAATTAGCAACGAGTCTAATAACAACCTCCCTCTAGGTGTTCGGAGATCCCCATTTCCTGACCTATGACCAGAGACCATACAGCTACATGGGAACTTGTGACAACGTGCTGGCTATGGACTGTGAGATGGGAAGGTGGTTCGTGTATGGCAGGATGAGACCTTGTGGCAAGACTGGAGGCTCCTGTTTGGAGACTGTTACTGCTTATGTCGACTCTGGTTAGTGTCAAGACTCAAGCTGTTATCCCTAAAATGATTGCTAGGTCAACTGAACGTTATTTATAATTATACCCGATATTTTTTTATGAAATCTATTTGTGAAATAATATCACCTTTTTGTAAACTGGGATGTCCTACCAGTTTAATATACTATAACTCTTACAGAGGTACTGGAACTGCAGAGAGGTTGGTTGGTAAACCAAAACGGAGGTAAAATAGTCCCCAAGAACCACCCTAACAAGAAGATCACAGTTAATGGTCGCTACAACAACTTCACGCTTCTTTTCGACGGAGCAGTTTTAGAACTAAGTGCAGTCCTGGATCGGTCCCCATCGGCCCTAAACCCGGATCAAATGGTTGAGGACAAGTTGGTGATAAAGTGGGACGGCTATGTATCTGTCCAGATTCAGACCCCTCAGAGGACGAGGACCTGTGGAATGTGCGGCAACAATGATGGAAATCCCGCCAACGATATGAGGATGAGGAGAAGAGGTTTGTAACATTTCTAAGATCCCCACAATCCAAAAACTTCGGATGATTTCTGGAAAATATAAACCCGTTATCTTTCGATCGTCTAAATGAATCTTGAGGTTTTTTCTTCAAGAAGTACCTAAACCCAGTCTAAAACGTCTTACGTAGTTACTCCCTTAGGAATGACGGACGACCCACTTGAGTTTGGAGAAAGCTGGAAGATAGACCCCAGGAGGAGATGCAAGGAAGTCCAACCTTCCAAAACTCCCGAGGAAGTTTGCGGAGACAAATACGAGGAAACTAAGGCGGAATGCGAGCGAATATTCAACACTGAAAAGTTAAAGAACTGTCAAACCAACCAAGGTCACGACACTGCCCCCTGGATCGAGAGCTGTATTTACGACGAGTGCGAGGGACTGATGCAGAGAGACGATTTGCCTCCTAAATGTATCGTGGCTGGTGCTTACGTGATGCGCTGCAGCAACGACTTCTGGGACCACGATGATCCTATTCCCACAAGGAATCCGCATATGGAGGGATGGGAGGAGGAGGCTCAGTGCCCAGATGCGGCCCAGAGGTTGCAACCGGTCCTTGATACTGGGTGTCCACAACCTACATTAGAGGAGGAGCTAGCTGGCGAATTCAAATAGACTCAGATTGAATATAAAAATTGGTACCATTTTGAACATTCGACGAGACCAGTGTTTGTAATATCGCTTTGAATTTGATGATAAGTATCTTTGAAGATGATGTATGAAGAGCAAAATAGCAATATATGAAACAAGTGATTACCACATTCCATGTGCCTTACAACGGGCGAGCGCATTGCGCATGCACAAGAATTTCTTGTGCACAGTGGGCACATGATATGTGGCTAGACAACCAATCGAAGTTGGAGTGTGTCAACATTGATTGTCAGGGATGGATTAACTCTTAAATCTGACACAATTGAATCTTTATTTATAGATAGATTCGGGGGCTGATTGCTATTATTTATTTCAAGAGTATTTGTAGTTTTATAAAGTATATTCCCAATTTTACTTTTAAAATTTCAATTTGTTATTGCCATATTCTTCAAATAAAATTGTTTTTGATGATTCCCAAGTGATAGCGAAACAAAAGGAAAGCTACTTTCATCGTCCAAGCCTATCGTCCAAGTGTATATAATAAGTTTTTGAAAGTAGTTTCAGTTAGTGTTTCAAAAATCAAATATCATACCGTTTTTTCATAAATTTCCTACGCGATTCTGAACTTCATGATCAGAACTGAACAAGATAAGAATTATCACAAGACAGCTATTCAAGCAAGAGAGATTAGTTTGGCCAGCTGCTTTCAGGACAAAACTTATCTATACTAATAATCTCAAGATGCGTGTTTGTCTGTTCGTTCGCGTATAATTTCCGAACGGCTTAATCAAGAAAACGGTAATAGTTACGGGGCTGGTTTTTTCGGTATAGTGCTAAGTGCCGACAAAACTCTGACCAAGCCAAATGATTAAGGTTTTTTAAATCGGCCGGTGGTAAGTGATTTAATTGATCATTTTGTGACCCAAATGTGATACTAAAGTGTCTCACGTACTCTTCCTTTCTCGCTCTCTCTCCCCCCATAACAGATTTGCGATATAATTACGTCGTGAGAAAAATAGACGTTAGTAGTTATGTTGGTTAGTAGCTATAACAGTCACCCCAAAGTAATGAATAATGATCTGATGAATTGTACAAGTAGTCATGGAGGCATGAAAACTATGTACTTCGAGGTGATCCGCTTGTGACTCGACTATGGACTAGATTCGGCTTTTTACAGCCATCCGCAAGGGAGTATCACCTCAATAGATGTAATAGATTTGAAGCGTTGTAATTAGTTTTAAACTAATTACAACACTACAAATCGAAGTACATAGTTTTCATGCATCCATGACTACTTTTAAATTAACAGGGTTTTTGAGTAACTTAACTCAGCAACTTGGATCGTGGAAACTTCCGCCTACAATTTAAAGATCATTCAAAATAAAGACGAATAAACAACTTACTGTGTTTATTTGCTCCTGTATTGACTCGATTGAGTTGTTCAATTCGTTCACATAGTTGAACAGAGCGAAGTTTTGATCCTCAACTGAAATTGAAATGTGGTTAACTAATATAATCGATTAAAATTGAAATCATTGATTTATATCGCTAAATCGCGGGAGCGACATTTCAGTAGAACAGTAGAACAGCTGTAGACGCCCTAGCCCTTAGGTACAAATTTGGAATAAAAGATGTTGCAAGAAAATGTGTATGTGGAAGTGACAACTCAATAAATCACTCATTAATATGCAAAAGGGGTGGGTATGTATCTATTCGCCACAATTCATTGAGATATGTGTTAGCAGAGCTCTTAGAAACTGCTGGCTGTAAAGATGTTACCACTGAACCTCTCCTCATTCCTGTCAACGGGAGAGAACTTCCTGCAGGGGACATCAAAGCAGATGGAGCTAGGTTAGATGTTAGTGCTAGGAGTGTATGGAACCCATTGGAAAGAACAATTTTAGATGTAAGAGTATTTCATGCTCAAGCTCCTTCCAATAAGGATCTTGGTTCTCCAATGAGTATGCACACTAGCCATGAGAGACAGAAGAAAAACATGAACTACAAAAGGATCGTTGAAGAGGAACATTTACACCAATTTTACCAATACATTTACACCAATGCAATAGTCCTATCAACGACAGGTGGAATGGGAAGAGAAGCAAAAACTTTCTTTAAAAAGTTATCTGATAAAATGTCTAGAAAAGCAGGTCAAAGATATTGTGAGGCGATGACTTTTATCAGGAAAAGAGTAAAATTTGACCTATTGAGAACAACAGTCATTGCTATTGGTCAAAAACTGTTTAGATAATTAAATTGGTATAAGTTCTCGTTAGGGTTAGGGTTTTAGCATATGCTTCAGTAAGGGATTGAGTTAAGGGTTGACGTCAGATTAGAGGGTTAGGTTTTGGAATAATCCCTCAAGGCCATCTCGAGAACATGTTTAAGCAAGTCACATGAAAGTGGAGTCTAGAGAGCAGTAGTGCTTATGTTTTTTTTTCGATTCACAAAATCGCCATTATATATTATTTATTGGTCAAGTACTGTATGGTAACAGGTGCGCGGCTTTGCTTTTGCTACCATGGCAACAGGAAATTTTCCAGCCCGCGCAAAACTTTTGTTCACAAAATTGTTTTCGCGCGTCCCAAAACACAAAGGCTAAAACTCAAAAGCTACTTTTGCCAGTGTCGCATTTAGGAAAGGTAGTAAAAAAGCAGCGATTTTGATTGAACTCAGATCGAATCAATGCCCAGAACTGGCCTATAATACGATCACAATAAGTCTCATAAGAAGAGCGATCTGCAGTTGATATTAAGCGAAAGACGAGACATTTTAACATTTGTAATCTACCCCCGCGACGAAGAATTTTAGCCATCTCAGTCCATAACTAACACATCGACTTTGTCAAAGCACAAGTCATAAGGGAATGATTTTAATAAAATACGACACACCTTCAATAAATCTTTTGACGAGTTTATCAGTATCTTGTATCGATGTGACCTCTCTAATCTTCTCGAACGCTTGCTCGTACGTCTGATGATAAATTGCTGCTTATTTGTTTTTTGAAGATTAGAAATAAATTGAGTGCATGGTTGAAAAAAGGAGATGTAGGAATAAAAATTTCAATTTTCGATAGAAAGGTAGGAAACATCCTTACAGTAATGGCTTCCTCAGCTTTCTCCGCTTTTTCTGCCGCATCCTTCTTCCGTTTTCTAGCCAAACTTTCTTCGTCCATCTCACGTTCTTGAGCCTTGACAGTCATGAATTCTTTCAGCTTGCGATCGTGTTCCAAAGTTCTTCTGATGTTCTTCAGTTCCATATTATATTGAACCATCTCTTTGTCTGATTTCTCTTTCAGTGCCAGCATCTTTGCTTGAGCTTCATCGCTGAAATAATACACATTTAATGATTTTCCGAATAACACTTTTCTCAATCCAAGAGCTCAACAAGAATTGCGCCCGTTGTTTCGTTTTGGTGGACGCTAGATTTCCGTTCACTATAACTATAAATATAAGCTCCAATCAGCTCACTTCATAATAATAATATTGATACATATCAGTACACTATACTACGCATACCACGTACAAATTGGGCTTATAACCTAATACTATACATTGCATAGTATACATTAAAATACACTCGCGCCGCGCATTCATTGACAGGCTAGCTATATACATCACATCTCCGCAAGCAATACTCGCGCGCTGCACTGCGCGCTAGTTGTCATGGTAACGGACGGAAGTAAGGACATATGACAACATATTCAGACCCACCTACTGCTATCTCCAAAATCTACGTTTTTCTGCAAAAACGTCCATTCGTAACCTTTCACTATTGCCTTTTTATAAAAGGGTGAACGGAAAAAATAAAGTGAAACAGAACGGATAAGGGAAATTCGGTATGTGTTTGGTATTCACCGTTGGTCGTATGCTGCTGTACTATCCTCAGTAATAATAGCGATATCCTTCTTAGTGTCAGCCAATTCCTTGAAATTGATGAATTGTTAATAAAAGGATGAAAAAACATGAACAAATTGTAAGAGCTTATGTTCAAAAACAACGTAAGAAGATTTTTAACGACTGATATCCAGGTGCCAAAATTTTCTCCCGGCCAACCGCCAATTCCTCATTAAAGTTTTAAGCAATCAATTTATCTTTGAAATATACTACAGGTAGCATATAATACTAACCTTTTCCAGCTTCTTGAAGAGGTTCTCGAAGATGACTTTTTCCTGCCGCAGATGATCAATGAGTTCTCTCTTCTTCTTGTTATCTGCCAAGATTGAGTTAAACCTCTTTAGCGCTTGGTCCAGTCTGTTTTCTAAAACTGCAACCTGCTTTTTAGCTGCCACTTGAACTTGCTGACTCATGTGCACACTGAAAATTTGAGTAGATTATGTTTTCATCTGATAAGGTATTTATCTTTTCGCTTTGGTTATCTAATCATGTTATTATGCTAATAGAGTAGTAGAATAATTACATACATATTACATAAAGTGCTCGAATATTAGTTACATTACATTTAAATTTTAATATAAATGTTCCTAATGACAATGTTATATCTAGGTAAACTATAGGTAAAAATATAATATTAATCATAAGCTAAAATGTACTAATCTTTGTATTCTAAATGGGGAAAAGAAGAAACATTGTCAGTCAGTCGAGAAAATTGTCAGTCAGGCTATATAATGGCAGCTTTGTAGATGTTGTGACTATGCTAGTAGTGGTCCCAGGCTTGCGACTGGAATTGCGGTGTTAAATCGATTTAATGGTACCAACGATCCACCTCCCACTTGTTGTTTGGTACTTAGCATTAATAGTGTTAGCTGTAGCCATTTATAGCAAGAATCTTAAAACTAAAGGGGATGACAAGGAAAAGAGGAAGGAAAAAGAATAACGGAACAAACAATTAATTAAAGTATTTATAGGTCAGGTAGCGCAGTTGGTTAGCCAGCTTTGCAATCGTGAGGTTGCGGGTTCAAATCCCACTGCCTGCCTGGTCGTGGGGTGAGTGTCGTTGACATTCAGCTAAGGATCATGAGTGGTCTATGCAGCCCCCCGGTCTACTCAGCCGAATACTCGAGAAATCGGGTGTGAGGGTTAAATGAGGAGCTGCACATTGCAGCAAAGTCTCGGGCGAAGAAAGTATGGTACACACTACCTTAACCGTCACTGGCTAAAAACAAATCCTTCGGCTTCCTGTAATTGGCTGGTTGCACTTGTGTAACAATATGGCTGTTGGAATACTCCGAAGTAAAATAAGTGTCTAGATAAAAAAAAAGGAGCATTAGTTATTGTAATTACAAGCTTCAATAATAAATCACTGACTAAAACTTCTAATTAAAATGACAATTGGTACGCTCGCCCATTTTCACTGGTCAGTCTGAACTTCGGTTTAGCACGTTGTACACTTATTCACCTAAGTTTCAGAATTTTTTCAGTTTAGCAGAGTTAGTACCCTTGTTTCAATAAAATCAAAAGATATCAGGGGAGTTCTTTAATAATGTTATGGTCATCTAGAATACCGAACTTCCTGAAAACGTTATCATATTTCCTCAGACAACGTTTAATGCCTTTAATCAGTCTATCACGGCTATATATCCTCTATCAATTAGAATTTTGAATATTTTGTGAAGATGGGAGGTAAAGATATCCAATCTAATGCAAACATTACCATATCTCTTATTTTTAAAAAGATAAGCTTGTCAGGGACCAGATTAGGAATTTGAATCAAAGTTTTATTAAATCTCATAAACACCTAATGTTTTAACATTTAACGGCGAAATATTTTGCAAACGATTATTCAGAAATAAAGAAAATTTCCCGATCAAATTTTTCAATCAAAGTAATTCTTCATTACCCGCCCATATTTTTATGCTGATCACGTTTTGCTTTTTCCATTTTCTTGATTTGAAGGTCAAAATTCTTTATCTTTTCTTTTTCGTCCTCAATCTTTGCCATATTTTCCGCTGAAATGTTTTGAACCTTATTAAGCAACTCACGAACACAAATTGAACTGGAACACATTATTTAATGATTTATTCTTTCAAATTCTAATAATCAATATAAGATGTTTTTGTAACTTGCATACCCTCTTTGTCTTTGAGTGTTCTCAGTTTTCCCACGGTCGATTTGTCCTAAATTAATGAAAACTAGTCAAGTAAGGAATTAGTTTAAAACCAAACATATAAGTATGCTTATCATCTGTTAGCTACAAGATGCCAATATAATATAAAACTATGCAAAGCCGTTACAACACCTTACTGGTTCCCAATCAGGGTTTACAGTTGACAAGCACTCAGGTAAGAATGGGGAAATAGCGATCCTGTCAAATGGCAAGCTTGCTTGACATCAGGGTCTCAGTGATATTAAGCTAATGTTGTAGACATTTTAAAAATGTTTGGGGGAAATGAAAGAGGTACGATATATCGGGATTTTACGGTAAATCGAGGTTAAACTGTACTAAAAGAATTAACTGAAAATTTGTTGATTTCTCACCTTGAGCTGATTTTGTGTGCTCCTTGCTAAATTGAGTTCCTTTAGAAGCTCTTCCTCTTCCCTATGCAATTGACGAATTGCCTGTCTGAAAAGGTTACTTTTAGATACGATGTGCATATTCGAGCCTATGTTTTCTTTATGTATCAATTTTTCGTGTGCAATATGAAGCTTTCCGACAAATTTGTTGCCGCATACATTTCCAGAAATTCCAGAAAGTCAGCCATGCCAATAAAATCATAAACAAGTATAATAATAAAGTGGAATGATTTAATGAGGTGACAGTTCCTAATCTTACTTTTGTTTTCTGATTGCATTTTGAGCTTCTTCACTGAATGATTTTGATCCACTGGCTTTAGTTCTGTAGGATTGCTGTAACTTTGCTAATTCCATCTCTGTAAAAGAAAAATTTAAATATCGAAACTGACTTGAATTCAACAAGACTTTTAAATATGGTGATGATCCAAAAAAATCGATGAATTTGGAAAATTCCCTAAACCCGGAATTCGGAAATGATGATCCTGAGAATAGCGTTGAAAAAGACACGATCATATTCTGAATTTACAGAAGTTTTTAAAAATTCCTTACTGAGCTCGTTGACTTCATGTAACCTTTCCTGCTCTGCCTCTGAGCCATCTGATCGTCTACTGTGAGGCCTATTCATCCTACCTGCTAATAAAAGTATTGTAGCAGGATACAAGAATACACAGATACACAAATGATAAGATTACTTTTATTGAATTCACAACAGTCGTATTAGTTAGAGATTAGAGAATGTAAGTAAAAGTGAGTTTAAAGTGATCAATAAATTGATAAAATGAGATAATACCCCCATAATATGTTGTAAAAATATGTGATAATGTGAGGTCGACGATTTTATATTAATGGGGCCGGCGCAAGGGTGAGAAAAAATATTCTACAGTTTTTGAGTTATCACCCTGAAACTTTGGGGATATGTTCTACAGATCCTTAAGAGGACCGGATTTGAGACTTACATTCTTTATTCGATTTTGAAAACAGAAAATCTTTGACCTTGTTTTTTTAATCGAATCAAAATTTATAAAAAATTATAATATCTATCTCCATGATCCACCACCAGCCCCCTAAAATATCAGGTCTGTTGTACATAAATATTCCCCAGTTGTGAGCTATCACTCTTAGACTCCTACTTGTTAACATATTATTATTACATTGAATCGAGATTCGAGAAACAGAAGTCCTTGCCTTTATGCAACCAGTCATACCATTATACTACTGTCTCTTGACTTCTTGATACTGCCCTTCTTCTACTCATGACCCCATAACCTAAGTCTGACACATATTCTCAAAACCCCACTAAATTATAGTTGCTGTTGTGGTGCACACGAAAGCGATAGCAAGAGTGTCCCTTTGCCCCATCAACGGTCAGTCTATTTGCAGTATGACTGGTATGCAACCTTAAAGTAATTTTCTTTGCAAAGATTTCCGGTGTATAGAATTTCCTAGTGTATAATATTGGCATGAAATTGATATTTTTGTTGTGACTGATATTTATGTTTTACTGACTTCTCGCGTCACAAGGTATGGACTTCCTTGGAAGCGTTAAGGGACAAAATGAAACCATGGAAGATTAAGCCTATGATAAAAATGTGTATTGCAATTAAGAAAATGTTATTAATCATTATAATTCTAGCAAGTCCAAACCTTCCCCAAAGCATCTGCTGTAGAATTACAACACCACCAACAAGTTATGTGTGCTATAATAGCATGACCAGATTAATACAGCTGTCTAGGCTGTGGTCATACTTTTCATTGAAGCTACAGTTCAAGCTTTTTTAATCAAATCTAATAGTGAAATAAATTCATCCACTAAGGAATACTTCTGAACAAGCTAACTAGCTGAAGCTGAAGGTTTTTTATTGTTATTGAAACAAAATAAATGCTGTCGAGTGCTAATACTGATGCTACTATAAACGTTTGTATCACTGATATGTTTCATGAACCCTCTCCAGAACGAACACTGGAATTCTAGATTTTTGTATACATCTACTGATTCAAGTTCAAACAGAGTCTAACTATCTGCTTACAGTTAGTTAAACAAAGTTATTCCACACGACGAAAAGATCTTTGAAGATTCAAATCTTTTCAGATTATTTTGAGTCTAGATTGTAGTGTGCTACCCCTGCTACTACTAATTAACGATTTAATTACTTGAACAAGCTTCTTAATTACGTGTTGTTTGTGATACAACTGGGTTTATCAAGCAAATATTAATTATATTATAGCTTGTCACTGTAGTTGTTTAGTACAATAATTCCCTGATTTACTGCAGAGTTTGGGAGAAAGGAATTGAAGCCTCAGTGGGCTTAAACCTCAGTAAATCGGGGTTTGCAGTAAATAGGGGTTCTGATTGTTTACACAATGTTTATTGAGCCCTATTTGGAAAAGGAAATGACTCCAGTAAATTGGGGTTGCTATAAATTGGGCCGGTAAATCGGGTATTTACTGTACATAGAAAACATTTTCATTAGATCACACTCATCCACAAAATTAGGCAAAATATGCAACAACTTAACACACGATCTTTTTTTCTGGATAGTTGTGGCGTAATTTGCTGCAGCTAAATGTCTGTGTAACAATTAGTTTTCGGAGTAAGGTCAGGTAGGTGTCAATCCGGAGGGTTACACTTTCCCAACCTGGCCAGTGTGAAATGCATGCTCAAATTTTTTAGAACCAATTTTGAGAAGTTGTGGGCTTACTTTTGTCACTGATGAAAAATCTTTACTACAACTAATTCCGATATCAAAGTGGTTTAATCAAATAGTATGGTAAATCTGGGTTTAACTGTATTCAGAATATTGTTAGCACCATAACGAGAGTGAGCTCTGACTTAAGATCATGAATCCTATTTTATAGGAACTCCCCACAGTACAGATCCTAACAGAACATTATACAATATTTGATTATTTGAAAGGCCACCCATAGCCCTTAGGGCAGTATACACAATTTATTTTGAACAAAATAAAGTTGCTATCCCTGGGTTGAAACGAGCTGCACCTACTTACAATTTAAGCTAGACCCGCCTTGCAAGGACTTTCAGTCCTGCGACCTCAACAGATCATGGCAGACCTAAATATAGTATTATGCCTTGTACTTACTTGTACTTGGAAAGGTCTCCTCCTAGTCGTTGGAGTGGCTAGCTCCACATAGTAACTCCTTTCTCCGGTGTATTAGACCTCTCCAGTGAACCCTGTCTGTAGCTTGTTGTTCTGCATCTTCTATCGTGATGTTATCGACACCTGTGAAGATTGCTGCATCCTCCCGGACACATGACAACCAGTTTTTCCTAGGTCTACCCCTTGACCTTTTACCATGCTTTGGGATCCAGTGCAGAAGATAGTTGGGTATTCTTTCTTCTGGCATCCTCACCACATGGCCAAACCATCAGAGTCTAGCTGCTCGTACGAAAGTATCAACAGGGGCGATGTTAGCCCGCTTAAGTACATCAGCATTAGATACATGATAAAACCATTTGATTTTCAGGATTCTCCTCAGACATCTATGATGGAACACCTCAAATCTTTTCATCTGTGTCTGTGTGGTATTCCATACCTCACTTCCATAGAGCAGTATAGTGAGAACAGCCGCTTTGTAAATCCTGATTTTTGTTGGAGTCTTGATGCTGCGACTGTACCATATACTGCTAAGCTGATAGAATGCCCCAGAGGCCTTTTGAATTCGAGCTGATAGTTCTTTGTCAATTGTTCCATTTGCACTGATGATTGCACCCAAGTAAGTGAAATTGCTGACCTGCTGTATTGGGAGACCTTCCACATTGATGTCCATAGTGTCGTCTTTAGAATATGGCCTCTGCGATGCACTTTTGCTGACAACCATGCTCTGTGTTTTGCCAGCATTAATCTTCAGACCCGCATAGGCACTGTATTTGCAGAGAAGGTCAGTGGTTTCCTGCAGCCCCTCTTTTGAGTTATCTAACATGGCCATGTCATCAGCGTAATCAGTGTCCAAGAGATGTTTCTCTTCTACCCCGGGGGCTGGCAGCTGTAATAAAGCCCCCTTGCTAATGACCTTGTTTAGTTCCATAAGGTATGCCAAAAAATTCAAACAAAAGTTGAATACTGGTGGTCCCTGTATGTCAACTTGCCCAGTACCCGAGTTGACATCAAACCAACCTGTAACCTCTCCATTGACCATAACAGCACTAACTGTGTGAGTGAAGAACGCCTTCATAATTCTAATGTACTTGTCAGGTAAGCCGTGGCCGTAGTGCTGCATACTTCTCCAAATGAACTGCCTGTCAATCGAATCAAAAGCTGCTTTGAAATCAACAAAATTAATATACAGAGGGATATTATACTCAATGCATTGGTGTATAATACAGCGGAGTGAATAAACCTGGTCAATACATGAGCGATTCTGTCTAAAACCACTTTGATTCTCCCGGAGGAATTTTTCCATGCCATTGCTAAGTCTCCGCAGGAGTATCATTTGCAGGAGCTTCGAGGCTGTGGATCTTAATGTAATGCCTCTGTTGTTAGCGCAATGAGAGGTGTCACCTTTCTTTCCAACGATGATGATAACACCTTTGGAGCAATGCTCAGGAATCTTCTCATCTTCCCACACTTTCTTGAACAACACAACTAGTTGATCGACCAACCCATCCTGTCCATACAGATGCTCGTTGGTGATACCATCCACTCCTGGACTTTTGTGATTCTTGAGTTTTTTGAGGGCATCAACAATCTCGTTTCTTGTAGGAGCTTCATCCGAATCGGAAAGGTCGTCAAAACTGGGTTGCGGAGGGATGTTGTCTAGGTCAGAAATATTGGCCTCTTGCGGGGGAGGGTTCAATAGCCTAGAGAAGTGCTCTTTCCACCTTTCTTTCTGGGCATGTGGGTCGGCAATCAACTGGCCAGATACGTCTCTAACTGCAGTTGACTGCTTCTTCTTCTTTCCAGATATGACATTGATATTCTGCCACACCTCACGTTGCTGACCTTTTCTCGCAGCTTCTTCCAAGTCATTGGCCATTCTACGTGCCCAGTTGTTATCGTCCACCTTGCTACTTTTTTTAAAGAGCTTATTCAATCTAGAATACTCTGATCTGTTAGCGTTCGAATTAGGGTCTTTACGCTTAAATTCCTTACGGTTCTTCAATAATTCTTTTGTCTTCCGAGATTGGTGCCTGTCCTTCTTTTTCCGAGGTCTTTGCCCAAGGATTTCCATGGAAACTTGTTGGACAGTTGTCTTGAAGTTGTCCCACATTGATTCCAGGTCAACCTCAGGTTCCAAACAGTCAAATTTGTTTCTCAGAACAATATTGTATTCGGAAACAAGTGAATGATCACGCAGATGCTCAATAGCAGGAATCTCAAGCTTACGTTCCTGCTTCTTTTTCACTGACATAAGCTTCATTCTCAGTCGTGCTCTTACCAAATAGTGATCAGACCCAATGTCAGCCCCCCTACAAACTTTTACATTTACCAAAGAGCCTCCAAACTTCTTACTGATACAGATGTGGTCTATTTGGTTTACAGTACGACCATTAGGCGATCTCCACGTACCTTTATGTATATCCTTTTGCTGAAACATAGTGCCACCGATGGTAAGTTGGTGGGCAATGCAAAAGTCCAACAATCGGGTACCATTGCCATTTGATGAGCTGTGAAGCGAG